TCCAAATGGAGGGTGCTAATCTTTCGAGTACAACTGATGAGTCTCGAGTACAACTGATGAGTCTCGAGTACAACTGATGAGTCTCGAGTACGATGAGTTTCGACTCGCAATGCACTCGGTTTCCCTCTAGAGGCGAAAACGTTACCCGAAAGAACAAGAAGCACAAACAGCGCCGCAACCAAGGGGGCCAAATAGACATTCAGAATCACTTGCAGGTACGCATTGAGGCGTCCCCCAACGCTTCCGGCCAAACTTCCATAGCTTCGTTGGCGTGGCTAGGAAGATGGCTGCCACGCCCCCTGCATGAGAAATTGTGGTGGCAGGGTATTCTGCCACTCCGCACACACACGCCCCTCAGTGAGGGGCGACAATCCTCTTTTTCTCCATCGGAAGATCACACGCTCAACTCCTTAACGTCTACCAAAATATCGGCAGCGGCGGGGCGAACGAGAAACTGCACGATGCCGCTCAGAAGACGGGGACGAAGGATCTCCAAGTTGAGCAAGACGTGTGCCGCCATAGAAGACAGGCGGAAGATGCAAAGATGACGAATGTGCACCGTCAGACATGGGTGGGGCGTAGGTGAACATTTCCTCAACCTGGATGATGTCCGAATTTGGTACGTCAGCAAGTGGTTTGATCCGGAGCATGATCGGTGGAGAAAGACTCATAGCGGGACAATATCCGTTGATAACCTTGATGTTGCCAGTCTCGAATTGTCCATGCTTGACTTGATTCACGAGCCTCATCATCTGGATCGGTTACCCGTTTCCACTCCCGAAACGAGTTGTCTGGCAGGTCAGGCACTTCCTCTTCTGGGTGCCACAGCTGAGCTTCTCCCGGAGTGTAGATCCGCACCCACTCCTGACCTTGCCAGACGGAATATTCGAGCCATGGGTGCTGCTCGTCAATCCGAGCCGACGTCCGAGTTGCATCATCTGTGTCAAAGACAGGGCGTACCACAGGTTCCGATCCAGCTGGCAAGGAAACAGTCACCCTGCACAACCATGCACAACCAACAAGCAAACATGAAAGCAAGTGCATGTGACAACACCTTTTTGTGCAACGACCAAAACGCATCAATCTACTCAGCAACTAGCTCGAAGATAGGCTTCTCCTTGTTGGTAGAGATGCATGGTTGGCTTGCAGGCAGGTATGGATCAGCGACCCCAATAGACTCAGGTGGCTCAACGCCTCGAGAAGTACGTACCGGCTGGTGCTGGTGGGACTCTTGACGTGCGCGATCCGACAGCTGCTGACAGATCCCTGCCTGAAGGCGAGTGAGATCCTCAGTAGAGAAAGCCGAAGCATCCGAAGATCGAAGAACCGCCTCCAACATCTGCGGGGACATGACTGCGTGGCCACGTTGTGTTGATCAGGAGAAGCCATCAAATGAAAACCGTGATCAGGTTGAGGAGCTGCAACTCGCCGGTAACCTTCTGTGGTCCAGTCCCTCTTGTACCAAGTGCTGCTGGTAGGTTGAACGCCGTCTTGCGCATGATTCGGGGCATAGAACTTCTTCCATTCCCTGTACTTATGACGTGGAGGAGGATCATCACGTTCGTCTTGTGGTGTCCATGATCCTGGATGAAAAATCTTAACCCATTGAGCGTCAGGTCGCTGAGGGTCAGGACACCATTCTAGCCACGGCATGATGATTGTCAAAGGAGCACACGGCTGCAAGGTCCAAACATGATACAAGGCAAGCAATCAAAGGGCCGCAGGCAATGCACTCAAGACGCAAAACTCAACAAGCGCAATGTTTTAACAACATTCAGTCCAAGCATCAATATCACTCGTCCCAGTCAAAATTAGGATCATAACTCGGCGGGGGAGAAGGTTCACGCCACGCGCCATCAGGAACTGAAGACGCCGATGAGGACGACAATCCATCGGACACGAAATCTGTCGATCCAATGTATGGGCGTGGGTCACCAAGGCGTTGATATCCCGGCGTGTGCCAATCACGGAATTGCCATGTGTGGTAGGATGCGTAGGAGACGGGTGTGACGTTCGGATGCGCAGTGGTGCCCCTGTGCTGTCACGAGGCAAGTACACGTCAAAGTGGTAGACCCTGCGCCATTCACGATACGTGGAAGCGCGGTCCGGAGTTGGGCCTCAAAGAACGGCGGGATGTACCCATGGTTTTGGGAAATAAGTCGCTGTAAAAAGCAAATCAGCAGATACGAAGTGATCCGACATCTGTGAAGCTCATACTGCGCGACATGGAATGCATCGGAATTTGAAGTGCAATCCGGACCATGGTGAGCACTTCAAGCATGAGGTCCAACTGAAATAAATGCTGAATTGATTCATACTCATCCATAGGAACCGATGGTAATTGAAGTCCAGGAAAGCAGTACTGCCAACACGCAGAGAAAAATGTCAATGTGTCCAGAAAGGTAGCCAAGGAATGCCATTGTGCAACGTCCTCAAATATCCCATTGTGTCGAAGTTCAGTCCACATGATGAATGTCTAACCAAAGTTAGCTGCAAGGTGGCGGCGACATGCAATCAAGAGTCAACAAGTTACAAGCCACACACAAGGCAAGCAAAGACAATCAACTCACAAGACAAGCCAAGTCCCAAGCAAAGCACTGACAAGTCTTCAACCGCTCATCACTTTGCCCCGCAATTGCCACTCCGGGCTAATACTCGAAAAGCAGAAACATTTCACCCGGTGAGTAGGCGGGCTGCCACGACGAAGAACACAGCGCTTTGTCCGAGAGCTTGGTCGTGTAGCCGGGTTCCAATCCCCACAAAGAGGCCATGGCCGCAAAAGTAGGTGCAACACCTTTTGGCAAACGTTGACGCGCCTGCAAGAGTTGGGCCACCATAGGCTCCAAGGACTTGTTGCCGTTGAGACGGGACGAGTGATTGGCCCACTTGACCAGCGATGCCACAGTAGAGCCTGCTTGAGGTACAAACGTGGTTGATCACTGGTCCAAGTGTAGTGCTTGATGATGTCTTCCGGCGTGCTGCGCATGGTGAGCAGCTGAGGCGTGGATGGCTTGGAAGGCGGGGACGACAGTCCGTGAAGAGATTGTATGATCCGAGGCTGCTGTTGGGATGGACCATCAAACGACCTGCCGTCAAGGGCAGCTGCACTCACCGTGGGCAGCGAGCTGGTTGGCGTCAAAGACTGCGAATGATTGGTCGGAGGCGGTGTGACCAGCTCTGCATCATCTTTCTGAGAGGGCAACTTAGAAGAAGGCGAAGTTCGCTGTGATGCCGAGTACTGTGCCTGGAGCAACTCGTGAGCACGATGGAGATCGTTGTACTTCTTGATCATGTCAGCCTCTTGAGCAGAGGGTGTAAGAGTCAAATGATGTTGATGAAGAAACTGAAGCACCAGATTGGCCAAGTGATCGTGAACCTCGATGCGCTGATTGAAGTCGTCAATGTTGAGTCCGAGCGAATTGGCAAGGTCCTTTTCCAGGGTAAGCAACAAGTGCTCCAGAGCAAGGCCTCGGTGCGGGTGCGAAATCCTTCCCACGTCACGAATCTCCCGTGTGCAAATGGTCGCAGTAGCCAGTTAGAGATGCCCCTGTGGATGACCTGAAGCCAACATCCCGGAGGTCCATGCCTGACATATCACGTGAATTGTTGTGTGGGGTGCTGGCAACCGTCATGGGCAGGGTAAAAGAGTAGAGCTGGTTGACGTCGAACACGCCGTCACCAGGTTTCCAATCGTCTGGTGGGGTAAGCCACGCTTTCTGAGGCTGCACAGGCAGCGTAGCTGGGTATCCTGGCGATGTCGTAGTCTGGGAGGAATGAACCGGAGCGTGGGCAAGTGGTGGCATCATGGGTTTCACGATCTTCGCCGGTATGGGTTCCGGAGGAAACGGCATCATGTAGTTGACCGGAGGGTGCTGATAGAGCTGCGATGACGAGGGATTCGGCTGGTAGTTGCTTTGTGTCATTGGAAAGGCATTGGGAGCGTTGTAGCTCGGATTGTGTTGCCAGGTCGTCAGGTTGTTCCAATCCATGCCGTCCGAGACCAAGGTGTCGTCCTGATCACGTCTGCGTGCTTTGCGAGGAGGTGAAGATGGGCTCCTATCCCGTCTGCGCCGAGTTCTAGATCTGTCACGATCATCCCGACGAGACATGGTGGCACAACAAACTCAAAATCGCGACAACTCAATCTTGAGAAAATCGAATCCGACAAGATGCAAGTCAACGCAAGTTCAAGCCAAGCACAGATCAACACGCGGTCATGCAGCCAACAGCAGCAAACAGCAGCAATTGTGAGACTTAGCTATGATCTGACGGCTGTCTTCCCTTTAGTGAAACCTCGTTCCTGCTTAAATCGTGAAATTCCGCTGGACTATGATATGAACGTTGAAAATTGTCTGGCGAACCGGCCCGGGGTCACACGATGGGTACACCCGAGGGTCCCCCAAGACTGGGGTAGTCACACTTGAACTCCAAATGGAGGGTGCTAATCTTTCGAGTACAACTGATGAGTCTCGAGTACAACTGATGAGTCTCGAGTACAACTGATGAGTCTCGAGTACGATGAGTTTCGACTCGCAATGCACTCGGTTTCCCTCTAGAGGCGAAAACGTTACCCGAAAGAACAAGAAGCACAAACAGCGCCGCAACCAAGGGGGCCAAATAGACATTCAGAATCACTTGCAGGTACGCATTGAGGCGTCCCTCAACGCTTCCGGCCAAACTTCCATAGCTTCGTTGGCGTGGCTAGGAAGATGGCTGCCACGCCCCCTGCATGAGAAATTGTGGTGGCAGGGTATTCTGCCACTCCGCACACACACACACATACACACACCCACACGCATCATGTTGAGTTGAAAACACACCCTTCAAACAATCTTGGCTGTCCTTCTTTCTTTGGGGCACTACCCTGCAAATTGTCCCAACTTCCCTTTTTCTGCCCTCCCTCCCGAGAAAACCGAGAAAACTGAGCCACCCCCCTCCGAACTTGGGCACCCTCCAAGGAAAACCGACCCCACCCCCACCCCGCCCTGGGGAGCCCCTGCCCTGTGGCAGCCGCACCGCCGCCGCCGCCTTCAGGTGCCCTGGCAGCCGCTCCGCCACCTGGTGACGGTCTCGGCCAGAAAAGAAATCGGAAGAAAAACCTCGTCCATTGCAATCAGGTCACCCCCTAGAAACCGGGCGGTCCAATCCGCCTGTTTTTTTCGTCCCTGGACGGACTCCGAGGAAAAGAGCAAAGAAATGGGGGCGGGAGGGGGGGATCCCCAAAAAAAGGACAGACCCGGGCAACTTGCAACTTTTGGTCGTCCAATCAAAGAGGTAACCCAGAAAGTGCTGGTTCGATAGGGGAACGAAGCCAAGGAACAAAGGAACCAATCCCAAGGGAACCATAACAAACCGGCTTGATTCTTGCTGGTATAGAGAATGACGAATGAGGGACTGGAAACAAGGGGGGCTACCGAACGAAAACGTTGGACACCAAGGAAAACCGCCCGGCATTGTTGGAAAGAGGGTCGCCTCCTTGTTCCAAAGGGAATCACCACAAAAAAAGACACACTGGTGTGGAGATGATTCAACATGATCAACACCCCTTTCAGTTGAAAGGTGTCAAGCCACTGATTTCCGGCAAGAGTTCTCGAGTGGAAGGGGTAAACATTTCAACAAAACCACCGACAGCTCCTTCGCGAATTAACATGAAGCAAAGGCACGAGCTTCAACTTGAGGTTGAACATCGGATTGTCTTTCTTAGGGTACCCCAGGCTGATGGTTGTCCTTTTGGTTCTCCTTAAAAACCAACCAGAAAGGGACCTTCCCTTCAAAAACGACAGACCATACAAAAAGCTATCCTTCCCCTTTTCCAATTGGGACTTAAAGGGACAGCGCGCACACCAGGCACGGCTGCCTGGATGCAACCCTGATTTAAGGGTAAAAACCCAAAGAAACCCAAACCAACTCCTGGGGCTTGGCCATCTTATGGTCCTTTCAGAACTAGCAGCTCCTTAGCCCCTCCTCTTTCTTGGCAAAACTTGGCTGTGGCTCAAAAATATGTACCCAAATGGCACCTTGGTTTTCTGGAGCCAAAGAAACTTTAACCCGCGTAACCTTAGCTCTTTTGAGCCATACCCACTTGGTTGCCTTCAGCTCGTTGGCTCCAGCTGCCTTTGGTTTGCTTTCCCAAACCTCCCCGCCTGCTTGCAGAGCCAGCGCCCGTTCTTCGGCATGCCCTTGCACTCGGCCACGGCCCCGCTGTCGGTGGCCACCTGCGAGTCATCTAAAGGGGGAAACCGAAGCGCGAGTCGCCGAGTTGCCGAGTCGCGCGGTCTGCCCACTTCGAGTCGGGTCTCCACAAACCGAAGTGGAACACCAAGTGAAATTAATTCTACCTGCTCTCTCCCAATTCCAGGGCTCCTTCTTTTCCAGAACGGGAATCTTGGTGGAGACAAAACCACAGAACCACCAGGGAAAAGAATGGGGGGATCAGCCTGGACCTTCCCTTTAAAAAATCGGAAAAGAGCACCCTGACAACGGTTGCCACACGGCCTGGACCGCCCCTAAAGTTTCTTGGGTTTGCCATATGCTGCCACGAATGTGTGGTTTAAGACGTTTAAGGAGAAAACAGAAAGAAAAACCCACACGTTGGAGGCCCACTTGGAGCCACCCAAATCAAGTCAGCAACACCAAGGCTCTTTCAGCCGCCCACTGGTTGCAACCGACCCTCCGAAAAGCCCAAGGCTCCAATGACCCGGAGGTGGTTTTGCTACTCGCCTACTCGCCTCGCTCGGTAGACCCGGGTTCTTTGAAGCGAACTCCCTTCGTCAGTCATCATTGCTTCAGAAGAAACCTTTAAAGGCAATCATATCTATCTAATTCTGAAGAAGAAAACCAGACAATAAGGACATGAAATCTGCAGGAAATAGATAGGATTAGAACGATTGGAATGGAATGAGCGAATGGAGGGATGTGTCCTTTTTCTCTCTTCTTATCCCGTTCCTTTCGTATGTCGTAACCCAGTTCTTGGATCCGTCATAAGCTTGGTAAAGGAACGGGATATCTATTTCCTATCTTATTTATCTCTTCAGTTCTCATCTTAAAAATCATCCAGCTTTAGATTGCAAATAATGGGATTAAAGATAACGGCAAGTATCAGTAAAGATGAAAGATTATTCCACCTACTTTATCTCCCGCTATTTGCCCGGGAATTAGAGGTAAAAGAGAACCCAAAAGTAATTCCAGATAATTCTTGACTGTCCCTGCTATTTTAGCATCATCAAAGTCGTTCCCCTTGGCGGTCCTATTGGAAGAGGAACCCAAACTGACTTTGATACCTCTTGTAGAGTAGTTAAAAGCAGCATGTCTGAATTCCAAACTCGCGGGGCGCGGGCCCGGAAGAAAGGATTTCAGGGGAGTGACCCAGAGTGTCACCAGTCCTGACTAGCGCGCGATTGCACTTCACTGTTTTCTCAAAATAGGGGACCAGGTTGGTTTCCCTTTCAAGCCCTCCCAAAAGCGGTCCACCATTTTGAGAAACGCCTTCATGTGCAACCTAAGACCATCCCAGTTTGCGAAGTATGGCTTGGGCCTCCATTAGCCCTGGATTGCAAATTGTCGTTTGCGCGTTTCCTGAGCAGGGGACATAGACACATTACGTCTTGTTTCCCGTCGCATGTTCCATGGATCTTTGGGTGCTCGTAGAAGGCTGGATCGGCTTATCATGCTCCTCAGGAGCCGATAGCAGAAAAGATCGCGTGAGAGCGGACAGTGGTTCTGCCAAATTTGCCACGCGCCTTCTGCGCCATGCGCGACTGGAGCGATGGTTTAATTGCCCGGCACAAGTTTGGGCCATGGAAAACACAAGTGCTTTCTTCATCAGATCAACCACTTCAGTGGACCTGGGTGTGTGTTTTTTGAGGGTGGCCTTTTTTGAGTGTGTTTATTTCGGGAAACGTGAAGCCACCCATTTTGAAAAACCCTCCGTTGCTATGGAACCTTTTAAGTTGAAATACCAGAGTTCAAGTGATTCAAGAATGTCCAGTATTATGGCAGCGACGCAAGCGCGAGGATCCCCCTCACAGCCTTAAGCCAAATGATTGGCAAATGACAAAACTCATGCACCATACCCGGAGAGGAAGCTAAGAGGAACACGCCCCTTGAAAAGGTGGGTTTGTTCAACTCCCCCAGGCGCAGGACGGGTCGCAGCGAAGGGTAGCTTCACCCCTTGCTAGAATGATTGCATCAACTTAGAAAGGCGACCAAAATACAACTCTCGAATTAATGACATGGATACGAATTATTATAATCCAGGCAAAGGTGCCATCTCAAGTTGCTAGCTGATGCGCAAGAGCGGCAAAACAGCTTGTCGAGATGCTGGCACAAAAGCCATGACGAAGCAAGCCACTCAACTGGGAACAACAAAGCTCACCATTAAATGCTGCACTGGTTTGTATGGCTAAGATATTCAAAGCCCATTGATGCATTTTGCAATCAACTATGTTTGTCTAAGATTTGGCAACTGCTCAAGCGCGGCATGCCCGGCCGCCTCACAAGGACACCGGTTTAGGGCGCGCCCTGATTCCAAGCACACACGAGTTTCTTTACTGCAATGCAAACCAAGACACGAAAACTTCAACCTGGCAACACAAGGGTGTCTAGCAGCGACCTGGTGAGAGCCAAGTAGTGTCATGCAATTCACTTCTCGTGAAACAAATTGAGTTCGCTTCACGGTGTGAGGCGCTCAAAGCTAGCCAAACACGGCAGGGGCAGGTGAGGTGTTCATTCAGGCTTTGATTGTTGCGGACAACCCCCAACATGAATCAAGTCGAGGGCGGCGCCCCACTTCTGAGGGCCGAGCGCCTTCGTCAAGGTATCTCCCTTTTGCTCGGTTGTCACAATGTAATCTCATTCGTAATTGGGGTTTTCAAATGCTTCTGACAATTAGGCGATGTTGATCTTGTGAGCCATTTGCAAGTGTCTCAATTTGGAAGAAAATCCTTTCGATACAATCGCAAGGACAGCTTGATTATCTTCCCAGCACTTCACAAGAATCTCACGGCCAAAGAGGTGGCTGCAAGCGATCTCCAAGGGCATCACATCATTGTCCACGGCGGTGGCCAAAGCCACTGTTTCGGATTCAGTCGTGGATCGGCTGGTGACAGTTTGCCCTCGGCTTCAAGCGCAACGAAGTAACCCGAACAACTCCTCATGGTGCTTACACAGTCACCACAACTCGCGTCTACCCAACAGGACAGTCACAAGTTATCCAGAGGGTCATGCATGAAGGAGTGCAAGGCATAAGTCGTGGTTCGGCTCAAGTAACCCACTAAGCTTGTCTCGAGCAACAAAGCTGCAGCCTCTGGACGCTTTGCAAATGCTGCGCAAGTACGCGCTGAAAACGCTTTGCGAACAAAGGTTGGGGCGCTTGGGCACAATCCTGCGCCTAATCGTGCTCTTCTGCGCGCTTTGGGGCCACTGGCAAATATTAGCGAGATAATCTGCGGGTTGCCCAAATTATTGTTCCCGGAAACAGCCCTTGCGCCGAAATTATTGATTTTGCCCCTTGCCTTTCAAAATCCTGGTTGCCGGTGGCAAACTTCTAGCGCGCTGAATCAGCTTGATCTTCCCCTTTGCCTTTCAAAATCCTGGCTGCTGGTGGCAAATTCCTAGCGCAATGAGTCAGCTTGACTTTACCCCTTGCCTTCAAAATCCTGGTCGCCGGTGGCAAACTTCTAGCGCGCTAAATCGGCTTGATCTTCCCCTTTGCCTTTCAAAATCCTGGTCGCCGGTGGCAAACTTCTAGCGGGCTAAATCGGCTTGATCTTCCCCTTTGCCTTTCAAAATCCTGGGCGCCGGTGGCAAACTTCTAGTGCGCTGAATCAGCTGGATTTTCCTGATTAAGCCGGCGACTGCCGTCTCGCATGGGGTAAATTCGAAAAGGCTCCTGTTGTTCAATGCTGACTAGGCAAGTACAAATTGGCAACACCGCCCTCCGAGCTCATTCGACGTGATTGGGGTCACAGGGCCATGGGGTTCTTGGCAACCTCCCAGACAAGATCAGGAGCAGCTGCAACTTGAGAAGATGCAGTTACAACATAACCCAACTGGACGGATGAGCTCTAGGGCACTTCCCTCCGAAGTGATTCGGCGCGACGAAGCTCACAGGGGGGTCAACCTCCAGGGTGCGATACTAGTCAGGCAAAAACTCGGGAGAGGGCCTAGCACTCTTGCTTCCCAATTGAGCAGCGGCCGAAACTTTCTGTGGATTGCTTCAAGTGGGAGGGTTCTTCGCCGCTGCTTTCGCTATGCTTTCGCAGTGTGCGTTTTGGCTTCCGCGGGGCTTACTTTGACCTTAAACCCTTTCGCGCGCTTTTGCGGGTCAGTCTTCCGACAAAGTGTTGACGATGAGCTTCCAGGCTCAAGTTTTTTTAACTACTTCATAAGCCGAATAAAAGAACAAAACCGTCTTGTGTGTCTTGACACGCGGATGCCCTACGAATAACGGAAGCCAGTTGCGAGAACCACTTTGCTTGTCACTCACGCGCTACCTGGCGGACGTAACCCGGCGCGCCGGGTGGCAAAAAGTGCAGGTGCGGCGTCCACGAATTCATTGTGATATCTAAGAACCTGACATCGCCTTTACGCGCCGCTTGCTTGGCATAACCCGGCGCGCCGGGCGACGCACCACGCCTAGTCTGAACGCAGCATAAACACTTAGTCATACGAGCGTGTGTTCGTAGCCGGGCTGCGCGGGACCAGCGCGATGAGCTTGCAGGCTCAAGTTCTTTTGCCTACTTCGTGCCCCCCCGAAAAAAGGAACAAACCGCCTTGCGCGTCTTCGCACGGGGATGCCATCCGAATGATAGAAACCAGTTGCAAGAACTGCTCGCTTGTCATTCACGCGCTACCTGGCAGACGTAAACCCGGCGTGCTGGGTGCCGAAAAGCGCCGATGCGGCGTCCACGGATCATTGTGATACCTAAGCATCTGACATCGCCTTTGCGCTCCGCTTGCTTGGCATAACCCGGCGCGCCGGGCGACGCACCACGCCTAGTCGGAACGCAGCATAAACACTTAGTCATGCGAGCGTGTGTTCGTAGCCGGGCTGTGCGGGACAAGCACCATGAGCTTGCAGGCTCAAGTTCTTTTAAAACAAAACAGCCTTGCGCGTCTTCACACGCGGATGCCAAACGAATGATGGAAACCAGTTGCAAGAACCACTTTGCTTGTCACTCTCGCGTGACCAGGCGGACGTAAACCCGGCGCGCCGGGTGCCGAAGAGTGCGGATGTGGCGTCCACGAATTCATTGTGATATCACAGCGTCTGACATCGATTTCTACGCGCCGCTTGCTTGGCATAACCCGGCGCGCCGGGCGACGCACCACGCCTAGTCTGAACGCAGCATAAACACTTAGTCATGCGAGCGTGTGTTCGTAGCCGGGCTGTGCGGGACAAGCACCATGAGCTTTCAGGTTCAAGTTTTTTTTACTACTTCAAAAGCCGGATAAAAGAACAAAACAGCTTTGCGCGTCTTCACACGCGTATGCCATCCGAATGATGGGAGCCAGCTGCAAGAACCATTTGCTCGTCACTCAAGCGCTATCTCGGACGTAACCCGGCGCGCCGGGCAACGCAAAGTGTGGCTCTGGCGTGACCACAAAGACAATGTGTTGTCTCAACTGACGTCGACCGAATGCGCTGCATTCCTGGCGCTCGAAGTCGCCCGGGCGCTACGCGACGGACGTAACCCGGCGCGCCGGGCGACACGCAATGCCTAGTCTGCGCAGCCCAACGTTAATCGTGCGAACATATTCACGGCCGGGCTGCGCGGGAAACGCGCGACTAGCTGTCAGGCACCTGCTCTTTTAGCAGCTCCACAAAACAAATCAATGAACAAACGTTGTCTTGATCATGCGGCTGCCATCCGAGCGAGGGAAGCCTACTGCCACTGCGCGAGCCACTGCTGGGACGGATGTAAATGCAACGCGCGCGCCTGACGTCTATCAAGACACTGCTATCTAAGCACCTGACGTCGATTCTACGCGCGGGTTGCTTGGCGCTCGCGCGCTACTTGACAGAGTAACCCGGCACGCCGGGCGACGCGCGACGTCTAGTCTGAACGCAGCGCGAACACTTAGTCACGCGAGCGTGTGTTCGATGAGCTTCCAGGCTCAAGTTCTTTTAATTGCTTCATAAAGCAAACAAAAGAACAAACCGTGTTGCATTTCTGGAAACGCGGACGCCATCCGAATGATGGAAGCCAAGTACACGAACCGCTTGCTTGGCGCTCGCGCGCTACTTAACGGACGTAACCCAGCGCGCTGGGCGACGCAGAGTGCGGATCAGGCGTCCACGAAGACATTCTGATATCCAAGCGTCTGACATCGATGTTACGCACCGCTAGCTGGGCGCTCGTGCTCTGCGTGACAGACATAACCCGGCGCGCCGGGCAACACACAATTCACGGCCGGGCTGTGCTGGACAAGCACGACGAGCTTCCAGGCTCAAGTTCCCTTAGCTACTTCATAGACCGAATCAAAGAACAAAACCGTCTTGTGTGTCTTGACACGCGGATGCCATCCGAATGATGGAAGCCAGCTGTGAGAACGAATTGCCTGTCACTCACGCGCTATCTCGGATGTAAACCGGCGCGCCGGGCAACACAAAGTGTGGCCCTGGCGTGACCACAAAGACAATGTGTTGTCTTCGCTGACGTCGACTCGACACGCCGCATGCCTGGCGCTCAACGGCGTCTGGGCTCTACAAGTATTTCTACAACGCACTGTCGAGAAGATCTGAGGCTGCTGCCCAATCCAAGCTGCGAAAACCCACCGCCCACCCCCCCCCCCCAAGTTCGGGCCGGCGCAGCGCGGCGGCCCAAAATGGCATGGCAAACTCTGACTTTGAAAAATTGGTAAATGAACCAAAATTGCGAGGTTAATTGGCTATCATTCCCGTCTTCTTCATGGTAAAAGCCGATCTTAACAAAGGTTTCGAGACCTGAACCTAAGCCTAACCCAACCCTAAATCCACCCTAACTTCATAGGTGTCCTTTGGTAAAATAGATGGGTGCCCCTGGCTTGTGGGGCGTAAAATCCATCTAAACAATCCATCTAGTTCCAATCAGACTCACCCAGAAAGGATGCCTGGGTGTTGCCCGTGTTTTTTGGTGTCAAAGAAAAACCAAAAGGAGAAAACCACCCTTCTCATCAATCATCATCATTCCGCGGGCGGGGGGTGGGGGGGGTCCAACCTTCAAAACGAGTCCCCCCACCGATGACCCCAAGCCCAAGGTCGCGCTTAGGCCCGTGCCATGAGGCCCTCAGATGCCCAAAGGCCCTCAGGTGCCCAGGAGGCGCCCAACAGCTCGCCCAAGTGCTCGATGCCTGGATCGAGCCGGGATTCTCGGGCCGAAACCCACCCCCACCCCGACCCCACCCCCCACCCAACAAAAAAGAAGGAAATGGAAAATGCAAGCGCGGAACTCGTGAATCAAGTGAGTTGGTCGAGGGTTCAAATGATCGCCATCAGCACGGCAATGAGCATTTTGGACAAGCATCGTACTGGCCCTCAGAAAGTCATCGGGTTGAAAGGTTCTCACATTGACTGACTGGACCAGCCATTTTCCCAGAGAACTGAAATATTGAGAAGTCACTTCAAACACCCATCCCCTGCATCATCCCCTGCTGTGACGAGGGAACTTTCGACTTTGCAAAGTAGACATGGGGTTGGTAAGGGCAAATTTAGGTCTGCATTTTGTCAGGGCACCCTCAAAATGAAGGGGTTCCGTAACAATAGACACGCTCAAATGTGAAACCCCCTCCGGTTCATCTTTGGTCGAAGTGCTTCGAATGCTTCGCGTGGCAACGTTCTCTCACTCCTCTCTCCAACTGCTTGGAGCTGCAAGAAAGTTGCTGGCATGCGGCATGGCAGCCAAGGACTCGCTCTGAGAAAGAAAGGCGTGGGTGTGTTTTTGAGGGCCCCCATGTTTGTGGTTGTTCAAGGGAATTGAAGAGGAATCCACAATTTTGGGGGTCCCCTTAAAAAACCACTGACAGAACAAGGGGGTGTTCCATTTCTTTTTGGGTACGAGGAACCAAACGCCAAACCGCAAAGGCAAACCACAAAGGCAAACCACAAAAACGCGCCTTCCAGGATGAACTTTGTGTTGATCTTCGCGGACAACTTCGCTGACACCTCGAGTGTAGCAAGGCGAACGGACGCTCAAAGGGCTCTCCGCTCTCCACAGAAACTTCTGAAGCTGTCCCACCACCACCACCCAACAAAACACGCAAAGGACCAATCCCCCCCCTCCCACCATCAAAAGGAAAAACATGATAACAATAATAAGCAAAGTAAAAAGAAAGTGACCATATTTCACAAGCGGCCTTCTTCAGCGCAGAGCAAAAGTGCCATCACTATGACTCAGCAAAGAGCCGCCCTGCCCACATGCAAAAAGCCATGCCAACGCACTCCTCTCACATCGGACTCAAGCACCCCCCCCCCCCCGCCTCCTTGGGCAAGTGGATGTGGGCCCCATGGCCTGGCGAATCTCCCCCCAGAAACGCTTTCAGACCAAAGCCGAATGTTCTCAGTATACATGGCGTGTATTTGCTCGATACCCTTGAGGATTCATTGCTCTGCTCGGGAAACTGAAGCAAAGCACAGGGAAGCCACCCATAGCCATAGCTTGGAGCAGATGTGCACACCAAGAGTTTCACCGGGCAAGCAACCTCCTCTCGCTTCCCGCGCTCAATTTGCTTTCAGATTCCCATCTAATTGGTTGGGAGTGAATTTCAATGGGAGACTGTTTGAAAGGGACGCCGAAGGGAACCGAAGGCCCTTTTGGCCGCCCTATTTTGAAACACCCATCTCGCGAGGGATTCATGTCCATCTTGTGAGGGATTCCCCGAGTCACCGCGTCGAGAGACGCCAAGCCAAGACCCTCCCGGCCTTCGCGGGCGAGGGCCGTCAGCAGGTCCTCAAATCGCTGGGGTCGCCAATAGAACCAGCCACTGAGAAAAGTGCAATGGCTATAGGTCAAAGTCAAACCACCAGGCCGCGGGTTTTAGTCATTGGTTCCGTTTCCCAGGTCGCCGTTTGGGGAACCTCTGTCTGACTCGCAGCCGAATACAGGAACACAAAAGTAGAGACCCATACCATACGATTCAAAGGCGTCCCCTGAATCTTGGAATCGGGTTGGTTGGCACTGACTCAGCACCCATGAGAAGCTGGGACGACAGGTTTCGATGGCAAAATTTTGGGGAAGCAGCCCCAAGCGGCCCAGACTTCTGTGATTCCAATGGAAAACCTGCCCAATGACCCCTTTTTAGGGATCGGATTCCCAAGCCCCGAGCTGAGAATCCGGTTGATATTGGGTCCCATTGAGAGAAATCCTCCAACTGGTTCCTGAACACAACTATCAATCACCAAGCAAAAATCTAAATCCGGGGGTCGGTGTGCGGCTCCATAGGAGCTGAAACCTCACCCCAACTCCAAACTTGGACGACGCGGAGCCAGTGACAACCCCCGAAGCCCAGTCGGCTTCTCAGAATTGGGGACCTGGAGCGCTTTTTCTTAGCGTGACTTTGAAACCATCCCCACCAGGGTCCGATTCCTCTTCTGAGAAACACCCATGTCGGCCTCTCCGAAGGCCGTTGGCTCGTCGTGCTGGCCTCAGGGGAGCGCCACTTTGTTGCGAGCTTCTGCACATGGCTGGCCCATGTTTGAGATACAAGTGCCTTGATAGAACAACGATGTGTTCCCTTGGGTGCAGGAGCCTAAACCCTAAAGTTCTGACTTCCTGCGAAGAAACCCGGGCACACCGGCAAGGTACTGCAGTGGAAAGGTACCAGTACATGGAAATATTATATTATATCACATATGATTATTCATCCATCTTCCTTTCGGCCGGCCATGCCCATGGGTAACTTTCTCCATGTGGTTGACATCTCATCCCACCTTCGGACCTGCTCACCAACCCCGATTGGTCAGGGTGAGTTCCCTGGGCCGCCAGCTTGGAGGCTCCACCTCGGTCAATCTAATGAGCTTTCGGGGGGACCTGCCACAAAAGACGCACACGACTTGGCTATGGCACTTTTTGCCTTTGAGTATTCCCAGAATTCTTATGACACCAATGTTCATGCCATGGCACGTGTGGGGTGTGTGTACCTTTCAAGGGGCTCGGCCCGAAGTCTTGCGGCTCGAGCTCGTGAATGTCAGGCCCGAATTGTGTGGTCGCCAAAGGCCCGTTGCGGCTGCACATGACGGCATAAAACGGGACGCCAGGGCCTCTCAAAAGGGTCTAGCTCACTTGAGTGGCTGGGGCTCCAAAGAACGTCAGTAAAAGCTGTCCAATTGGTTGTCTCTGCCCCTCAGAACGATCTTTTTCAAAAACCCTGTAGTCAACTCAACCTCGGCCAGCGGAACGCACTTGGAGTCTGCCAAGCCACGTGCTCCTCCAGCGCCTTCGGCAACATGCATTCGAAGCCGTGCCGCGTTCAGCGACGTTCAGTCGGGAAAAGAGGGGCCATGAGTTTGACACCTCCTGGGATTTGTTTGCGGTCCGCTTCCAAAAAAAGCTTTCCCCAAGTCGCTGGCTTGAGGAAGTTTCCGTTCAAACTCGCCGCCCAGTCGGAGCTTTCAAGCAGCCAAAAAAGGGGGGCACACCCTGGCTCGGGCCAGTCCACTGAAAGGAGGCAAATGTCAAACACTTTGGAAACTAAACTGGCCCTGTCAGGGGCCAAACTTTGTCACTCCATACCGATTGCTGTCAAACAAAAAGCAAGCAAGCAAACAAACAAAAACAAACAAGATAAACAAACAACAAACACACACCCACACACACACACAAAGGCAAATAACCAGGGACTCCCAGATGTTCTTTGGCGTTTCCTTTCGGTTCCCGGTCATGACAGAGTTGGGTTTTGCACCCCACAACACCCCAGCCTAAAATATGTTAGGCTCTTACTACTGTGGGCAAAACCCTGCACCGGTTGGACAGCGGTTTATCATAGTATTGACCTCGGGCGTCGTCCATTGCAACTGCCGCGAAACGGATTTCGACCCGACTCCCAGGCTTGGGAAGCCAAAAAACGGAAATCCAACCACTCCAGCCATGTCCCCAAAGGATTTGGTCCACAAAAAACCAAACAAAAAAAAAACAAAAAGGATTGTCTCCAGCTGGCAAAACCCGCCCCAAAAGAGAAACCCAAACCCAAAAAGCCCGCCTCCGCCAGCGAGCTCAGGGACGCGGCGAGGCGCTCCGCCATGGCGGAGACCTGAGGCCGTTGTGACGTGAGACCCGGACCAACTGGGAGACCAGAAAGATTCTGAGGGTAGCTTCCCCTTTCTTTCCAGGGATCCTTCTTTCTAGAAAACCACAAAAACCATGGGAAACTTAACCCCTAGAAAGATACTGATCCTTAATGACAGGGCGGGCTCTGTTTTTCATGCCCTCCGCAAAAAGTCCGGGGGTTGGTTTCCTTTTGATGAAACTCACAGGCCGGGGCTTGCGGAAAGCTCCCGCTTCCCCCAAAAAACAGAACCAGTGGGGGTGGGCTCTCGCTACTTGCAAGGAAAAGGGTCGGAAAAACCGTGGAAAACTGTGGGGAAGCCTGTCCCAATGCTCCATGCCCATGATGGGAACAGCATGTTTGTGGATGTGCTGCTTGGAGTTGGTACCCTTTTCGGGCAGGTTTGAACTCTTGAACGGAAAAACAACAACACCGCAGGGGTCCCCACATTTTGACACATACCCCAACAAGTGACCAAGTATGTGACTTGAGAGGAATCCTGCTGATGGCCGTCTTGAACGGTCCCAGCAATCCGTTTCTTGCCACGTCGAAACATCACACCACCCGAAGAAAGCCGTTGGGCGACCTTGCCACTGGCCCAAACGTATCTTTTGAGGGACCCTGTAGAGAACCCTGTTCAACCCGCCCATTGGCAACCGGCCTTCTCATCCTGCCGCTCGAAGTCAAACTGCTCCTCGGCCCGTTTCGTCCGTAAAGTGAGCCCATGGTAAACCCAAACGAAAACTGGGACTTTGGTGGGCGGGTCCTACCTGGGCCCCTGTTCTGATCGGCACAAGTTCTGGAAGGCTAAGCGACGGGCCAAACCCAAATGATCGCATAGATTCCGAGTGCAGAAAGTGCATCAGAGTCACGGCCATATCCGAAACCAGTCATGTCTTTGGAATCACAAGAGCTTCTGACTTATGGCGAGTGTCCGCAAATCTCCAATTCATGTGCTTCTCGGGGTTAAGCTTGGGAGCTATCTTCTGCTGCTGCTTCAAAAACAGACTTGCTGGTGGGGGGATCACCCTTACTGACAATCAAAGCGGGATTCAACCACCCCATGATTATTACGTCATGGGTCCTCTTGGCTCACAAAAAGCAGCCATTCCCCAACAACTTCCCCACCACTGCCAAGCCTCGGCCCCAGAAAGCAGCCGATTTGCTTCGGCCTACCCCTGAACCCGGTCTTTGGAGAGACATCTGCGTCTCTGAAAATACGCAGAGCACAGCTTATGCGTCCCCCCCCCCGCACAAAAAGGGACATCTGCGTCTTTTGAAAATGGGCGGGCCACAGCCCCCAGGCCACAGCCAAGGCACCATGAGACGGCGATCGGAGCCGCCTGTGTGCGCATACTCGTTGCCTTAGCGGAGGCAAATGCCGAGGACACGCGCGGCCCATTTGGCCGGGTTGGGGGAACCTGTTGTTGGAACATATGGCTGTGATTGGGTGTGTACAAATACGGGGAAACCCAAGAATCGTGGGTTTCTCAGTTGGCTTCTTTTCAGAACCGCGCCAAAGAGAGTACCCACAAACAACACCCCGATATTTGAACTGCTTGGTAAAACAACATCCTTTGGGTCCCCCTTCAAAGGAGTTGGACCAGGGGGTGTGAATAATCCAGTGGAGCCGAGAAACGAAACAATACTCCCACCAAGAAACTTGGAAGTGCACAAACCTCCTTTCTGAGCGACCACGTTCCGCTTCGAAAAGGTGCCGCACTTCCATTCTTGTTGGGGGGGTGTTCTGAGCGGGCGACTAGGGCTGGTTGCGAAACGGTTGAAACATGCTTACCTCACCTCCGTTTGTTATCCCTTCAACGGATTGGCTCCCAGCCTTTCTCATGATATGCCCCGAATGTTCTGCGTCGCTCCCGGCAAATGTTGTCCGAGCCTCAATTGGGGATGTTATTCTTTTAGGGCACACCCAAACTGGTGTTTTTCTTTTGGTATCCCTTTTTTCAACCACAAAAAAACCGGGTACCTTCAAAACACGACACACCTCAAACAGGACCCAAGGGTGGCGGGCGTCGATTCTCCAAAACCCAGGGCTCCGGGCGAGTACCGTTGCGCGTCCATGGGGTCATCCAGGGTTGCATGTGGGAGGGCCAGCGCCTCGGAAGAAAAATGGCGAAGCCGGGGTACATTCTTTTAGTGACTCTGTTTGTGAGGGTTTGGGCCCCTTTCTATTTTTTTCAGGGGTTTCAAGCGAAACCGAAAAGGGAAAGCCACAAAAAAAAAATGCGGGGGGTTCCCGGAAAACCGACACCCGCGTTGTTGGGTTTCCCCCCAACAGCAGACCCATGGAGTTGATCTTTTCGACTGGGGTCAATCCGGCGAGCGGAAGGGCCCGGGGCAGGCTTCCAGAGAGGGCTCAAAGGAGAGGTTGCAGAGAGGTTTTAGGCTTGGGATACTCTTGGCTTGTCCTTTTTGCCAGAGTTGGCACTTTTGTTGCAGCAGTTGCAAAGCGAAACGAAAGGGAAACCACATTTGTAGGTCATGTCTGAGTCAGTTCCCCATTTTGAGGACCAACCCAAGTGCAGTTCTTTTTCCGGGTTTGACAAGAGTAAAACAAAGTCAAGCACAGAAAGTATATTGAATTCCCAATTGGAGGATTCTCCCAAGTCGACCGCCCTGCATTTGCAGAACGCTTGCTCAAATGCGGAGTGTGGAAAAACTGCAGACCCTTCTTGAAGGAAGCCAACCCCCGGAGGTCCAGCATCGGGCCCTGCCCAGGGGTCCCCTCATGGTCTCGCCGATCTTCGGAGGCTTCCTTCTTTTGGGGGGGGGGGGAGGAGCCCAAGCACCCGCTTGGTGAATCCTTTTCGGGGAGCCTCCGTTCAGAAGCCCATCCCAGCGCCGCTCTCGGGCTTCCTCACATGTCCCCTCCACACAGCAGAGAAGATGCGCTGACAAAACTCAAAAAAGGCCTTGTTTAGCTTAGGAATGGCCAAAAAGCGATGTTGAAGTTCCCCATTGCCACTCTTCAAAGTCCAGTCCTAGGTGTCTCAAGCTACATCATTGATAACACACCTACATATGGCCATGAGTGAACATCCCAATCTCCACAAAAATAGGTCCGAAAGTGGGCGGTGAGTTCACCTAAATGGGATCCCAATGGCTTTGACCACCGCAGCCGTGCCAAAGAGGGGAGTCCAAATGGAGCTGTCCGATCTGAGCTTCGGGCATCACACGGCCCTCTTGCTTCAGGAGCTGCCGCTCTCCGTGGATCTGGCGCTTCGAAGGGAGTTGTGTCGAAGCGAAGCTGGGTTTGGGCGCTGGGCCGCGGGCTTGGGCTAAAGCTGGGGGGTTTGAGAAAACCTTCGCTGGAAGCATTCTCTATATGGCTGTGGGTCAAAAAATTTGGGTACCCAGAATGGAACCCTAAATGGAGCCAAGGACCAAAACCTGTGCTCCATATCCTGGCGGCTTAATTTGGACCCACACCTCATATTTCCCCTTTACATACTCCCCTTTCAAATCGGCCCAAGAGGTGATCGCTTTCCCGTGGGCCCCAAGCTTGCACCAGAACTCGTGTGACTTGGGCGGTGGCCAGCGCTGGATCTGGGTCAAAATGGGGGAACGTCAAAAAGTGGCGGCTGTCTGCCTGGTTCCCCTGAAAATGGTATATTTAAACACAAACCCATGCCAAAGTTCTTCCAGCGTGCGTCAGCGTGGCAGGAATCGGCAGGCTTGCTGTTCAAGTGGGTGCACCATCTGACGATGTGGATGTGTCTTTTAGGAGTTGGCAACCTTTTTGGGGCCTGTTCTGAAGGGACCCGAAAGGAATCATTCATTTCGGGCCAACTTCAAAACGTCACCCCACCGAACAACCTCAAAACGCGCTGGAAGGAGATCATGTTTGAATCCCCAAAAACAGGAAAATAGGGGTGTTAGGGACCCGAAGTGGTGGACATTTAGGTGGCTGTACACCAACCGGTCAGATGGTTCCAACCAGTAAAATGCAGAGCCTTCTTGCAAAAGGGAAGTCCTGGGCTTGGCACCGGCCTGGTCGAAAACACGGCCGAACATCATGAAGATCCACAAGCCTCAGGGCCCGGCCCCTGCGGTTGGGCTCCCGAAAGGGGGAAAAGGGGGGGGGAGGGGGGGAATCCGTCTGGCCCAAATGCAGCAAGGGTGGGCAGATTCGAGGCCACGCGACTGGGGAAAGAGACTCACCTGGACTGGCCGGCAAACTCCGAATGCCCCACAGGTTAAGCAGAACCAAACAAATCCCTATGAACCCTTGTCCCGGCCAAACTGGGGCCGACTTACGCTTCCAAAAGTCCGGAAGGTGCTACTTAAAAAGGGCAGGACATGTCTAGCAACCATGCGTGTGACATAGGGAACTTACAGCCATGGTAGGCTGTAAGCATGGCTGCAATGGTTGAGGGGTATATTGCCCTCTAGTGGTATGACCTCCACACCTCCAAACCAGCCACCAGCCCTTGAACAGGGATCCAGTGAATCCTGGCGACTCTATCTTGCCGGGAAAAGACTTTCGATGGACATCCGCTTAAGACGTGTGTCAAGCGCCCTCTCACAGCTTGCTGAAGCGAAGCCCTTTGATAACAAGTAGGCCGTCCGTAAGGGTGTTCCCTTAAGGCCGTCCCTAGCTTCGTTGTGGCGAAGGGATTCCCTTGAATCACATCCATACGGCCACTCAACTAAGAACAGTTCATCTTCCCAACCTTTGGTATTTGGTATGCTGGCAAGACAAGCTTGTTGTTTTGCAGCCCCCCACTCAACAATCAACATAACCAGCCAACAACGGAGCAACCGAATAAACCAAGAGGAGCCAAGTTTTCACCTCCACGTTTTGCATCGCTCTCCGCTCTCTCTCCCGAGCGCGGCGCAGATGTTGGTGATAATGGCTCCGCGGAAGAGCTTCCAGGGGTAGAGCATCGGAGCGGTCTGACCAACGAAAAAAGGCAAAAGAGGCATCGGGGCGCGTCTGTTTTGGGGTCCCGACCCCTTTCGCTGGGCTACCAAAAGGAGACCCATTTTTGAGACAAAAGGTCCCGTACATGTTGAGACAAACTCGGTACTTGATGGAGGGCACTTCGTACGGGTGAAGGTTGATGGCAACAATCCCTTTGTGGCAGTAAGCAAAGAGGCGGTGACTCAATCCATCTGGGGGCATTGAGTCATCCAAGTTCACTCAACTCTGAGTGGCCAAAAACCATAGCTATACTTTGGGTGCCCACTTCACTCGGCCCTTTTGAGCCCCAAAAACGGACCCCGAACCTTCCACCCCAGACCAACCACCAAACCCCCCTTCCAACCCTGCGGACCTCTCGGGACTTCTTCACGGGCACGTTCACCCCCTTGGCGCCCTTCGCCGCCTTCATCTCCTGGGGCGGAAGGGGCGGAAGGGGCGGAAGCGGCTTCCGCCCAAGAGCTTCGGGGCGGAAGCCCGCCAGAAGCGTGAAGACCAGGGAAGCCAAGAGGAAAACCTGGTCGCAGAGAAATGGGTTCGCCGGGAACCAATCGGAAGTAGCCAGAGGCTGCCGTTCATCGCTGTTCGGTCCGATCCAGCCAACCCAAGACATAAGACATTTTCGAGTGGATCAACCAAACAAGCCGGAACAATGGACAAACCGGTGTGGGTGTGTCTTAAAATAGAGCACCCCCCAAAATGGGGGGGGGGGGGGGCAACAAAAGGGTGCCCTCAAAAGACGGTGCCTTTCCAGGTTGCTTTAATGGTAGCCAAAAGGAAACCACCTATGAGAAGAACCCAAGTACCGTCTTCCATTTTGCTCCTGCTGCAGGCACGTGTTCCCAGGCTCGATCTGCTTGGGCGGCGCGACAATGTAGACGGTGCTGCTGAACCTTGACCCCAGCTTTTCCGCAGAAGTCGATCCAAGGCAATAAAGATGCAGGCCAACGAGGCCCCTGTTGTGGCTCGTCTTACCCGCAGCTGAGTTGGTTCTACTTTGCCTTCAGCTTAAGCCTCCCTCAAGCTGTTGCAGTGCTTCTGGTCAAAGGATCAGTGCTAGGAACTGGGCCCAGGGATGACCAACACGCGCTGCCGTTCAGCATCAGTTCTTCGACATCCCACACTCGGGGACTGCTGTTGGCTCCCTTGGAGGATACTATTCATATACGCCTGCCCAAGCCATGTGTAGCCAAAACGCCAATTCCTTGCCGGGAGGCAGCCAGCACATGAAGCATGGGATTCTGTTTGACTTCCCTGCTATTTGTGCGGGAGATGTCGTAAACCCCCATCTGCCCCATCCCAGGTGAACCAACTGGATCTGTTCGACCAAACCTCGCTTGCCCAAGGCCCAGGCGCACGAGGCAGCATCCTGGCCAACCCAGTGCAACCCCCGAGGTACCCCAGCAACAAGGGAACCGGATGTACAAAAGTGACAACCAAAAAAACAGAGAAAAACTGTCAGCTGAGCCTCAACCAAACGTTAAAACATCGTTAAAATCGTTGCCTGAGTTTGAGGTTCTAAGCCAAAGACTCTGCAATCGCGACTCGCATTTTTCGTAATTTTCCTGGATGAGAGATGCTCTTCAGTGGGAAACCTCGGTTTCAGACCTTCTCTCCAGCGAGATTGAAAAAAAAAAAAAAAAACGACTTGTTGCCGGGACCCCGCGCCAATCGCCCGGGGTCCATTGCTTGCCCGGGATCTCCGGAGGATCCGCCTGCCGCCGTCGGATCGAAAAACCCCGGCCACGGTCTCGAGCGAGAGGAAGCCGACCGACGGGAAGATACGGAGCCCTGCTTGCCTTGATTTCAAGCGCATAAGGTGAACACCCTGGAAAGCTTCCAAAAAAGTAGAAGCGGCCGGAGTGGCAGAAAGGAGGCTCTGGTTGACAGGGACAATGGCTCCGGTTGAGAGCATGCGGAGGGGGGGGGGGAACCTCCAACCGTTTCTCGGTGGAACTCCCACAAAAAGACTCATCCCAGCTCGGGGTCTTTTTGAGGCTGCCTGTTGCCCACGACGTCTTAGCGTCCCGTTCACAAATCGCAGGCACCAGCAAAACAATCGCAGAAAAATGGCTCTTAAACCATTGATCTTTTACCCCACATCAAACCCTAAGTCCAAAATCAAGAACCCAACCCCACACCAAACCCTAAGGAGAGCATTCTCGCCTCATGCCATTTTGCGGGCACGGCGCCTGTGGGTGGGGCATGGCGAGCTCGAATAGCCTGGCACCACGTGAAGGGGGGAGGGGGGGGGGTCCAAGGGGAAACCGAAAGGAAAGCCAGAACTTGTTGGGGGTCCCCCATTTTGGGCAGATACAAGAATATTATGGAGGACTTGATTCATCCAAAATAAGCATTGCTCTTGCGCAGATTATGGGACCCAACAAAACAATCTCCTTGTGGGGGAAGGACACCGGACACCCATACTCCTTGTAAACTCCCACACTAATCTGCAGGGGATATCCAAGCTGATCTCTGCCTGGGGTCTGCTTGGTACACTTGTCCAAATGGGGAGCGGTCCCTCAAAAGAAAGCGCCCGAGCCGCAACCCATGTGCCCAAAGAGCGTTGGAGTTTCAAGGCCGGGAAGGCTTCCGGCTCCGGTTGGGAATGTGCCCACTATCAAGTACCTTATGGCAAGATTGCTACAAATGGGTGTCTTTGTGTTGAGAGGTAAATACGCCTTTTTGGTGGTGTTGAAGGCAAGCCAAAGGAAACCATAATTTCGTGAGGGGTGGGTCCAAGCTTAAAATTTTAAACGCGCGTTTCTTGGTTTCAAAGCGAACTACTTAAAAAAAAAAACGCCACGATTTCGGGGGAGCCACGACCTCAAAAGAGCCACACCCAACACTGGGCTCGAAACCGGCGGCCTCAAAGCCCAAAGGAAGTGGATCACGTAGGGCACCCAGGCGATGAGGTAGATCACCGCGATCCAACCTGCAACGGCCCCAAAGCCCCACACCCCAGGGGAGATGTTTTTTCACCCGGCGGGGGTTGGTCCAAGAAAATGCGGTGGAACATGCACGGAAACTGAGCGCTCAGAGAGACACCCCCACGGCTTTTAGCAGTTTTGGCTCCGTTCGTTGCTCCTTTTCATCCAGCGGGTTGCTCGCTTAAACTCGCAAGTCATTGCTTGCTCAACCAGGCCGTTGTTTCAGATACCGGTGGCTTAGGATCAAATGTGTATATATATATATATGCTACCCCCCCCCCCCCCCAAAAAAAAAAAAAAAAGAAACGATATATATATATATATACACTACATATACAACATGGCCCGACTGTACGGGAATTTAGGCAACCTCCATCAAAATTGTTGTGGGAATTTGGCTGCGCAGAGGAGGACCCCGAAGCCGCCTGTGTCCACTAACATGGGGAGGCCGGGATTTTATGCTTGGCGTAGATGCTTTCCAAAGCAAAATTAAGTCTTGGACCACACTGAAACTAGCGAAACCTACCTATTGTACAACTATCCAAACCTGCGGTTCACTGAAAAGTACTTTGTGTAGCCTGTTGATTCATAGGGGTACCAAGGACGCCAAAGTGCGGCTTTTCCCGCTATGCGGCCGAGGGCACCGTCGTTGGGCGTCAGCACGGAGTAATCCAAACTCAACGCCAGCACCGTCAAGACCTCGCCGCCACCCAAATCCACCATAGACTACTGGATATCATCTAGGCGGGGATCCACGTGAAACAACCTTGCTTGCAGGATGTGCCCTGTCAGATTCTCAAGCAATATGCCGAGAGGACATGGGCAGATGGGTTCCCTTACTGGTGTTATGTGCCATGGTCATGGCTCCTGTAATTAGAGCCCTTTAATTATTGTTATCTGTAAGGGTCCAGGACCATTCCTACCAAGCCCGATAAAAACGCACCTCGCTTTGTTGTGGAGCCCCTGAAACGGGCTCCAAGCACCCCAACTTTGTCTCGCGTGCGCAAAGACTGGGTCGAGCCAAGGTCAGGACCAGCCGAACCAAACTCTAGTATCAAACTCAACAAAACCATGGCAAGGCTCTAATGCCTCCTCTTACCGCGTGATCACTTGACAAGTTTTGGGCCAACCATCCGACGGCCAGCCCCGGCTCTTGGGGTCCTCCACAAAAAGCGGTCCCTGTGCCCTGACATCCAAAGGGAAATCCTCGAGCCTTGCTGGTGGTATGTGGAAGGTCGCAACATGTGCGACTTCCCTCCGCCCCAAAACAAACAAACAAACGAGCAAGCAAGCAAGCAAGCAAACAAACAAACAAAGAAACAAACAAACAAGTAGATAAAGGTGTGTTGCTCATGGAGAACAAGCATATGCCAACCACCAAGGTTTTTCCGTTGCTTTTTGGTATTCCTGGCCGCCTTGGGAGGCCTCAAAGGAGGCCCGTGGAAACCCTTGACACCGGCGACACCGAGTCGGTTCCGGGCCGGGGTGAAGGGCAGCATGTTCTCGATGGGAATCATCGCCAGGAAGCGGCTGTCGGATTCCTGGCGACTTGGGTCATTTGGGTCATGCGGTGGGTCAAAAATAGGGTAACCCCAAAATGAAACCCTGGTAAATGCAACCAAGGACTAAAACCTGCGGTCTTCCGGTGGTTTCATTTTGACCGACACCCATTTTGTCATTGAGAAAGGAGACATGGACGGTCCTCGTTCATTCGGGGCGACGATTGCCACGGGCGTGTTACAAAAACACCGGGGGGGTCCTGGAAAAGTGTCCTTAGTTGGAAGATCCGACTCTTTGGAAGCGGTCGTACCTTGCCGCAAGCTCTCCAATCTGAAATGAGGCAGCACAAATTTGGTTGTAGGCAAGGTCCGATGATGTGGCCTTCCCATGAACTCGCTCATGCCCTAAAGGAACAAGCAAAACCCCCCATCAAAGGAGTCTACCCTGCCTTGAATTTGCATGGCAGCCCTAAACTCATTTTTTTTCTCCCTTGAGAGTACATCGGCTGAGGCTTTGGATTCAGCTCTGGCCTTGTTGTTGCTCGGCTTACTACTCTGGAACCTCCTCAAGGCCAGGACACGGGTCGACTGCGTTTGTATGTGTTAACCTCGCCAAGCTTGAAATAATCCCTCTCAACATATCTCAATATCGTGGTGCCCACCGATAAATCTGAAGCCTGAAGCCAATATGAAGTCGAATTAGCCGGGGATGTCTGTCCACCACTATGGTTGCAGCAGGTTCCCTCAGATGCCAGTGGTTTTGCGCCAAATCTGGCGCTGCCACCCACCAGAAAGAGAAAGAGAAAGAGAGAGAGAGAAAGAGAAAGAGAAAGAGAAAGAGAAAGAGAAAGAGAAAGAGAAAGAGAAAGAGAGAGAGAGAGAGAGAGAGAGGGAGAGAGAGAGAAAGAGAGAGAGAGAGAGAGAGCGGGCCTCTTGGATGTCAAGCTTCAGCAGGCACCAGTGGGCGGTGGTGAAGATGAGGGTCACGCTCCAGGCAGGCCACAACTGAGCAAGGCTCTGATTCACTCCACCAAAAGTGCGCCTCGAACAAATGTCTCCTTTCAGGGGCAACAGTTCTGGCGCCACTTGGCTGTGGCTCAAAATTAAACAGGAGGAGTTACGCGGGTTTTGGTCCATGTTTCCACTTACCAGGGTTCCATTTTGGAATTCCGGTTTGTTGAGTTCTGGCGCCACTTATGATTTGCTTCCGTTTGAAGGGCGTGCCGGTCCCGGCGCCGAACCAGGCGGGTCCCCTTTGGACGAACCTTCACTAGGATGACAGCCGGCGGTAAACCACCACCCTCGCGGAGCCCTGCGAGCCCGGTGTTCCATGGGAGAAATTGCTGGTCTCGGTTTCGTGTGGTTGAAGCTGAGCTCGTCCCAAGTCCGAAATCCCAAATAAAGAAGAATGTGAATTAGGGACCCGTTTGTGAACATCAGAATTCGGAGATTGTTAATTGGACCCGTTTGTGAACATCAAAATTCGGAGATTGTTAATTGGGCCGGCTTGTGAACATCAGAAGTCGGAGATTGTTAATTGGACCCGTTTGTGGACATCAGAATTCGGAGATTCGTGTCCACCCACCATTCTCGAGGTGGTTCTATATTAAGCTTCATAGCCAAGCGCCTAGACGAATCAGGATAGTTCGCACAACCCTCCTATGGAGGGCAAAGGTGGCTTCATAAGTTTACCAGAAAAGTCACCCCAGTGTCATAGCAAACCCGGTCCTGACTGTATTGGCCCTAGTTCATGCCGCAAGTATTCATTTCTACTCACATTTCAACCGCTTCTTCCGGGGTCGCTCGCATTTCAATCGTCTTCCCTCCCGCTGGGCGCCCCCTCTGCTCGAAGCTCACCGAAGCAGTGGCACTGGGAGTAGAGGGACACCTCTGAACCAACCGAGGCAGCTGTCACAAACATGAGCACAGCCGCCCAAAGCGGAGCTCGCTTCTTGGATCTAGCCTGGTTTCAGCTTGCCTGCCATTGGCTGCTTTTTTTTTCTGAGAACTCCCGCAAAGGTGGAAACCTCCTGGTTTTGGCTAAGATGATGATCAGTACATCAACACCCAAGGCCCATAGAACGGCAGCTCCCCAGTTGCCACTTCGACCTACAGACAAGATCCGTCCGCTTCGACCCTGAAGTCCTCCACGGGGCCCGTGCCGAGGTCATCCAGTGCGAGAAGAAGTACAGGATGCCGATGCGGGCGTAGCAATCATGGACGGCCCACTCCTCAAGTTGCGCCGTAATCGGAACCGGTTCACCCAAGCAGCTTGGCTTTCCTTCTGGCTTCCTTTCTAAAAGCAAGTCTTCTTGTTGAAATCCTTTCAACTTTAACGGAGCTTGGCTCCGCCGGGCTTTCTGACGGCCAACAGGTTCCTATGATTACAACTCGCAAGTCTTTGGCAAGCTCAGTCACGCGTGATATGCTGCGTCTGTGTGTGGGTGTGTGTTCGTGTGTGATAACTTGGTGTGCCTCTGTGTGTTTGTGTGCGCGCGATGCAATGGCGCACTCTTGAGCACAGCTACGGACGAATCTGAATGCTGATGATGATGATGATGATGATGATGATGATGATGATGATGATGATGATGATCATGATGATGATGATGATGATGATGGTGATGGTGATGGTGATGGTGATGGTGACGATGCTCACGATGCTCACGATGATGACGGTGGTGACGATAGTGATGACGATGCTGGCGATTGCAACGATGATGATGATGACGACAACGATGAGGAAAACAACAGTAACACAACTGCATCCTTCCTCCCACATGGAAGCATCACACGTGGCGTCCAGACTGGGCCAACGGCACCAACCTGGGGCCGCCGCTTGCTGCAAGCCGCGGTACAACTCGAAGTGCTCCGGCAGGGAATCTCGGGCCGTGCGACGCCGCTCGCGCCAAGCGACGGCTTTTGAGGCTCGGGACCGCGTCGGGCGGATGGTTTGAAGGGAAACCAAAAGGACCTTTGGGCCGGTGGGGTTTTACCATGAAGGGGAGCCAAAAGAATCAAATGAACAAAAGAACATCGGACCCTCCCCCTCGATTCAATGCAACCTCAACCTCAATGCAACTTCCACCTTACTTTCCTGGTCCCCGACATTTTCCGCAGTCACCGCAACAATCCTGGACAGAAAGGATCCGTTGCGGACACGTGCTGCTCCCCTCAAGACTGCAGGATGGAGGGCAGATACACAATGGATCGCGATGGCAAGTGGAACATGGCCTGGGTCCAAAATTTGGTGTCCATTTCGGTCTGGCTTCAAAACCTCAAAGACAAAGGGGTAAAAACCGCGTTTGCCTCCAAATGCATGGGCGCAGAGCAGCGCAAGGCGAAACCTATTTCAAGCAACCAGGCCCTCACTTTTAAGGACCAAACAGAAGTTGCTTGAACAAACTCGTTGCTGGAACACTGGCTTGAATCGCCCCGGACGATTTACCGATGTCCCACTGCTCCCTTTTTCTGGGGGGTTGGGACTGGGGCCCCTGGGTCCCGGGCTGCGCGTGGCCGCCTGGGTGCCCTTGGCATGAAGCTCCTTCTGCTCGTCCTGGAACCACTTGGGCATCCTGCCAGTGGCGCTTCGCTTGGCTTGGCGGCGGGTTGGGATTGTTTTTCTCGAGCCGCGAAAAGAAGAGGCGCGACTTCGATCGGTTGGGTCTACAGCCAACCTGCCAGTGGCCTTGGTGCTTTCTGGGCCGTTGGGATGTCAGGACATTCAAAGTCTCCGATCTCATTCCTAGAGACCGCGGTGCGTGCTTCCTGAGCGGCCCTTCAATGGTCGGATTCCTTCCGGCCTTAAACCGGAAAAAGAGATCCCAGTTCAAAACGGGATCAGATCATGTGGTCTACTGCAGTCCTTAGGCGCCTTCGACTTTCTCAACACGCCCGCAAGGGGAAACCGCCACCTTAAAGGCCTCCAGTACGATCAGTCCTGCGTGTGCCAGAAGGACCCGCCACCTTCTTGGCCTCACAAAATGGGTATGTCTTTTTGGAGGGGCGTCAAGGCGAAGCCAAAAGGAAACCCCACCCTTTTTGGGCGTCCCCTTTTGTTAAAGACACACCCTGAGGACATCTTGTTGTGGGTGTTCTACCGATTGTGTTCTTATTTTTGATTTATTTCTATTTACTCCTTGTTCGTCTTCTTTTTTTTGGGTGGGGGGTCCACATCTCTGCGCGCCCTCGACGTCTTGGAGATGGACACCCCCAATTGAAGAAAACTGACGTTCGAATCCCTCACCTCACCCATTCAACCCACCAATTCAGGAGTACCCACCTCATATCGTTCATGCTGTGACAACCACTGCTGTTGACCCTGCATGTTGCCATATCATGAACTGTCACTGGATGTCACCAGTTAGCAACCAAAATATGAATCAACTGCATTGAGCCAAACACCAGCTGGTTGTTTCCGTTTTGGATCCAACCAGGGTTCCCTCAAAACCACATGTGCCACGCTTACCAATAACAAATGTTATACCCTAGCAAACCCTCCCATCCCCCTCGCGCCATACTCAGGCCCCAGCGGGGTCGGCTTGGGTCTCGGCGGTGTCCTGGCAACCGAGCACATTCTGGTCGGTTACACTCCCATCCTCCATACACGGGTTGCAGGAGCACGAGACATGGACAATTTGGCGGGTTCCAAATGTCCGGCGTTCGGAAGGAAAGAAACGCCTCTCTTGGCTACTGAGACGGAATGAGCCCATCGGCTTCTTGTATTCCTATCTCCGTCCAACAGGAAGGCTGTCCTTTGCCGAAACAACTCGAAGGCCCTGTCCACCCTGTCCATCTGGGTTCGAATTTATCAAAATGGTGTCTCCCCCAAAGGTGAAGAATCCCAACCAGATTTCCTGGTGGATGTATCCATGTATCCATGTATCTATGTATCTATATGTATGTACCTGTCCCTACTTTAACCGTTTGACCCCCCGCTCCCCCCGCTCCCCCCGCTCCCCCCGCTCCCCCCGCTCCCCCCGTTCCCCCCGTTCCCGGACCCCAGCTCGATCCATTCGCCTCTTTGGGCGCGGGCACCACGAAGGGCACGCGGAAGACGTCGGTGACCCGCTGCTTCTCGAACATGTTCCCGGTGCGACGTGCCTCGAGGGAGACTGCACTTTCTTGACTTTTTGTGTGTGTGTGTGTTTTTTGGGTGGCTTTCTTGGACCAAATTGGGGTGGCTCTTTGCCTTTTCTTGCTTCAGGGTGGTTGTTTAATGGTTGCAAAGGGGAACCAAAGGAAAGCCGCGTTGTTTATGGGGGTCCCTAAAACACACACACACACACACACTCTCACACACTCTCACACACTCTCACACACATGCACCAAGATTGGGGAGGCAAGGGTGAGCTGTTGCTTTTGGTCCCTTCACAGCAGGTCTTCAAGGGATGAATCTTTTGTCACATTGTGCCTTTCCGTCTTGTCTCTCCGTCAACAACCGCGAGAGAGAAGTGGCAGCCGAAACAGCACCCGGGAAATCGCGTGAGCCCATAAATACCAGAGTCTGCTCGAAAAGGGGACCTTCTCCTTGGACCCCGTTCGGGCATGGTGGACACCTCGTCTCATCTTGACATACGGTGGATGGAAGAAATCTTGCATCTCTTTTGAAACAGATCCATGCCATGTCTTTACGACTTGCCCCGCGCCCCCTACTTAACATTGGTGCTCAGTTTGGCCAAGTTGGGTTGGGCCATGCAAGATTTAGGCCATTGACAACCTATGAGCGGTTTTGCTTGTCGCAACTCAATGTTAAGTAGGGGGCGCGGGGTGGCAAACATGTAGTCTTGTAAACTCATGCAAGATTTCTTCCATCAACAGTATGGATGACGTCCGTGCCTTGTCGAGCTGCTTCGGTGTTGGGATGGGCAAACGTACCTGGCGAATGGGATGGCCGCGACTCCGAGCACCGGCGGAGCAAAAAATCAAAAAAAGACTCTGCCATGAAGCCAATTCCAAGCTGCGCAAAGCGAGGGGTGGTGAAACCACCGCTCTTCTCAACTGACTGCTTGTCAACCTTCCATTTGCTTTCTTGCCCCCTGGAAGAAAAGAGAGCATATGTCCAGCAGTGATAGATCCCCTGTAAAACCAAAAAAGAGGAAATGAAGAACGAAATCGTTTCAGCAAATTTCCGGCAAATCGTGTGGTCTTTCTCCCGCTGACGGCACTAAGCCCGGCGCCGAGCGGGTCAGCATGTGCACCGAGCCCGCGGTGGCACGTGCAGATGCCTTGTCTGTCCAGGCCCTTCCGGGGACTTCCCCTGGGCCCCGGGGCCAACCGAAAGCTGTGTCTCAAAACCAGGGACCCCCAAAATGGCGGGATCTCCCAGTGGTTTCCTAGACGAAGGAAGCCGGGTGTGTCTCAAAACACCATTTCCCAGAGGACGAACCCAAAAAAGGGTACCTAACGAGCCCCTCTGGATCGCCCCAGGAAGCCCGAAAAAGTGGTGCCGAGAGCCCAGCGTGGAGAGTGAACCAAATGAGGACGCACAGGAACATCAAGGCCTCGGTCAAAAACTGTCGGGAGAACCTGCGTTCGAACCCATTCATGCACTTGATGAAGAATGGTTCAAAAAAACACCGAGGGAATGGATTCAAATCACTGTTGGGGGTTCGAAACACTCCCCCAAGCTTATTTCACCCGGGTTTCGTAAATTTCCGGGGTCGACTCGAATGACCCGGGTCCCAGCGAGTCCGCAGCATCCGATGCCAGCTGGGAGCTCTGCGCTGCAGATGTTGACCCAGTACAAGCCTCGGCAAGATCAAAGCCTCGAAGCTCAACAAGTGAATGGGTATGTGTTACTTGACAGGGGGCATAGACCAAGAATGGTGCGGTTTTCCATGTGGTGTCCCGAAATGTGTGTGTATATATATATATATGTTTGTATTTATATTTATATTTATATTACCATGTGTATGTTTGTATATGCATTGTTGCAAAGACCACACAAAAAATGACCTCAGGAATGGGAGCAAAACCAAGCAGCGAAGCTGGCGCGCACGCAAAACACCTGGCTCGGACTTTGAGGGATCCGCAGGGCATATGAAGAGAGGAGTCTCAAACTTTCTCTCAAAGTTCGGGGACAGTCAAAATCGTGGGGGGGGGGGCGGGGGGGTTGGTCTTTTGGTGCCCAACCAAAAGACAAATTTCCCAAACGACCTGACACAAAACATACCCCCGAAAGCCAAGTCACCGGCACAAAATGCGGGCTGTGGGCTGTTGAACCGGTTCTTCCTGGGGATCCGCCCGCCCCTCAGGTCCCTCAGCCTCAGGTCCAGGGGACCCAGGCCCATGACGTACCCAGGCGGGCTCGGGCCGTGCACACCGAGACCTCAGGGGGCGTAAGGGTAAGAAGGAATCCATGGGAATGTATTTATATATATATATATACATATATATATATATACATATATATATATATATACATATATATATATACATATGTCTGCCAAACCCGGGTCCATGGAGGGCGGGGGGGTGCCATAGATAAACCATATGGGGTTCTCAAACCTAGGGCTATGTGGGGGGGGTTCCCCTGTAAGAACAACCATTTCAAGGAAACTGTTTGAGGATGTCACTTTCCGGCAAAGGCCCGACTTTGCCGAAAGCAAGTGGGCCCTGGATCCAGATGGCTTTCATGTGGATTCAATCAAGCATATGCCATAGAAACCTCAAGAATGTCGACCGGACATTCGCAGCCAACTATCCAAAAACCAAGGATTCTGTCCTGCGATCTCATTACAAACTCTCTTGCCGGCACACGTTGTGAAATCGTGTTGCAGATTCTCTCGATTCAGTAAACCTCAAAACGACAAAGTCATTGGATGTGTGTTTTGCGGATTCGGGTGAATCCTACCGTAGATCCGCCGCCTCCAACCCCCCCCTCCGCCCAAATGGATTGGGCGGGCACGTCCAGCCATGATAAGCTGGAAGTTCAGGACGAAGAAAATGACGCCGATGACATGGTAGGTGTCCTTGGCGCACCCAAGAAGCTCCAAGCTCCCCCCCAGCGCACCCCCTTTTCCTTGAAAATGCAAAAAAAAAAAAACTTCACCGCATACGAGGCCCCTTTGAGAATTCCGGAAAGTGTCACGATTTGAGGTCCCGGCCATCTTTGTGACGGTCAAGGCGGTCAAGTCGCGGATGTCTTCTCGGTACTGGGAGGCCTGTAGGCTGACCGGCTGTCAAAAAACATGCAGGTCCAAATGATCAAGCAAAAACAGCTCATGGGACCCTAGAGAATCGCTGTCAATTTCCAGCAATGCCACCTGTTTGTGTGTGTGGTTCACGCCGAGCCCGCTTCAGGGTGCATTGGGCAGAAAGCCAAGTTGAAGTCCTGCAATCAAAGCAGTGCTTCATGTCCTGCAAGACATGGCCCTGTGCCCGGAATCGCCTCAACAGGACCCCTGTCTGCTGCCAGGCTGGACCAGCCTGCGCCATGGCAAAGTTGTATCCAGAGGTATACCGGGAGAATCGGAGGCCAGCATCGAAGAGGTAGTTGGCTCGGTTGTACCTCAGGAAGAACCAAAATTCAACACAAAACAAACAAACAAAACAAACAAACAAACCAAAAAAACGTTTGGTTGTCTCCCCAAACATCTCTGAGGCGTCCCGCGAGAAGGCGCCGGTAGCCACACCCCCGGCGGCCGCGGTCGCAGCCTGGCCAAACTCCGACGATCTGACACCAAGCTGAAGGGCGCGACGCCAACGGCTGTGGTGGACAAAAGCGGGTCGCCCCAAAACGGGTGGTCCCAGGACATGGAACCAAGGACTAAAACCTGCGGTCCGATTCCTGGCGGTTTAAGTTTGATCAGTACCCAAGTGGAACCCTCAACACTAAAGATGCAGGGAACACCAGGTGATTTCGGTGAGTTCGGCCAGCCAAGAAGACAAGAATGATAGGCCCCAAATTGGCACAAAACGAAAACGAGAACCACTCCCCATCCGCCCATGGCTTTGCTCTGAGAACAGCGCCGCGGCGCCCGCTGCCAAGACCGGCATGATCGCAAGTTGCCTGCGAGGTCGCGACGTCTTGGGATTAGATTTGGCGGTGTGGCCCCTTTTCACTCCAGTTGCAACCAGTGATGGCGGGAAAACTCCGAAATACCGCTGGTCTTGAACCTATCAGCTGATCTAGCTACCTGCCTACCTGCCTGCTGGCTTACTTGCCTACCTTCTTATTCTTGGCTACTTGCCGGCCTCACAACCAACCAAGTCTCCAACTGGCACTCGCACACGCCCAAACTGGACACCGTGCAAGAATCGCAGGAAGATCTAAGAGTGGGGTAGCCAAAGGGCGGTTGACGGTTGACCCCCATAAATTGTCCTGGAGCCGACTGTCCATGACAAACCCTTGTGGCAAAACCCGGTTTTGCCAGTCGATCCTAACCCCGAACATTTCTTGAAACATAGGATCTAAACAAACAATTCAACGAGCCTTGGTTTACGCTTTCCCTGTAGATCTTGTCCTTGTATGGCATTTGCGTAAAGATCCTCGATGCTGGTTGCAACAAGCCTGGCTTCACACCCGAGCCCTGTCACTGTTTCCCTTTCGTGCTCGCACGAAAACGGGCTCACCGGGCTATCTTTCCTGTGAATCCCCGGAACAATGCACCCGACATCGGACCATTCTCATCGACAGAACCCTCTATTTGCTTAAGGCAGGCAATAAATCGAATGCTGTTTCCAGCAATGATGGATTCCCCTTGAAACAACAGGGGAAAATAACATGTATTCTGAAACCTAGGCTGTTCTCAGACTAGTGGGTTGGTGGAAACTAACACTAAACCCTAAAAAAGCTGAAAACCTACAGTTGGGAACCACCAAGAAACGCAAATGGAAGCTGAAGCATCGCCCAAACTCTGGCGCTGACCTGGACCGTGAGGCCGCGCACTTCACCTCAAGCACCGTGGAAGGCCGAAGGCGGAAGGCAGAAGTGGAGGTTTTGAGGCGGGCAGGGGGGTCGGGAAACATGTCGCCCTTTGTCCGATATTCTCCTTTCAGCCAACAACTCCAACACATCGTTCGTTGGAACAGGTGGGCACATTGGTCTGCAGACGTTTTTGGTGGACATGGAGGCGACCAAAAGCGAAGCCCCAAGACCCGCCCAAGACTTGTCACACTTGTCGCTCGGCCCCGGACGTATCCAGCTCCGGCTGGGAATGCTCGAGCCGGAGACTTGCGGGCAGTCGGGCAGGCAGTCGGGCTGTCAAGCAACGTGCCTGGAAAATGCGTTGTGAAGCCACCGCCAGTGGACCCGGATGGAAACCATGGTGCAACAAAAGCATGATCTGAGGGCTCGGCAGTTGAGACCTCCTGCCTTCACTGGAGTTCACTGAGGATCGGTCGTGGCGTGATGGAAAAATGTCAACGAAACATTACGCTGCTATTCTTACCCAAGCGAACTTTTCCAAACAAAAGTTATGCAACCTGAAGGGACCCCCTAAAAGACATGTTTTCCTCTAGGGGCCCTCTATCAATTTCCATGTTAAGGCTCCGAAAGCCCAATGATCTCCTTCCTCTTACTGCGTGCCTGCGGCATGGTTGCTTTCAGTGGATACTCTCCTGCCTTCCTTTTGGGTGCCACGTAAATTTGGAGAAGACATAAACTGTCCAAAGCATTTGCCGCGCGCTAACAACTATGTGCCAAAAAAATGCCCCCAAAAGTGTTGTTGCTATTGATCCCTTTGATCCAACCTCAAAAAGGGTACCCTCTGAAAAGCACAAGCCCAAACTTATCTCAATCGCCGACGAGTTATCGGCCACTGGTGTGAGACAGGGGTTCTTGGGGCGCTTCTTGGCCCTCGACTAATGTACACCTCTCCGCCCGAGAAGGTTGCGACTACAACAGTCGACATGTTGGCAGGCTACAAACCAGCCCCAAACACTTCGTTGAGTAATCAAGCTTTCGCAACCATCAGTCATCCTCTTCTACCGACTCCTCCTCAAAGTCCTCATCGAACTGATCGAAGTCTTCCCCGTAGGAGCCATCATCACCAGCGCTCTGGCAAGGGTTCAAGCAATGAAACTACCTTTTTATTGCAAGTCTCCAAACTGAGCAGGAGTTGATTATGCCCCAAGCACAGGACCGGTTTCCAGGAAAGAAATCCACCACAACCTCGCTTTGTTCCGCCTTGGTCGGTGAGCTGGGCCTCATCTTTTTCGGCGACGCCGAGGATGGCCGCGACGTGCGCACCGGGGACGGGCTGGGCGACTCGGGCGGCGCCACGGGGGGCGGCGGCATAAAGGGCGACGCCTCCGGGGACGCCTGCGACTCGACGGACGGGGGCTCAGGCGGGCTCGGCGCCCTGGATGCAGAATCCGGCGCACTGGGCGCACTGGGCGCACTGGGCGCACTGGGCGCACTGGGCGCGCTGGGTGCGCTGGGCGCAGTGGGAGGGCCAGGGGCGCTCGGCGCGCTGGGCGCGCTGGGTGCGCTGGGCTCGCTGGGTGCAGTTGGTGCGGGCTCCCAAGACGCCGGCGCCAAAGGCAGCGACGAGGCGTTGGCCTCTGGCATCCGCGAGCGCGAAGGTTTCTGCGCCGCTGCCTCGATTGCCTCCAGCAGGTCTTGGGAGCAGAGCGGCGCCGCCTGGCAGGGCTGCCAGTCTGGTCCTCCTTTCTGGGCGCAGCTAAAATTGCCATCCCCAACATGATCTTGTCTCTGTGTTTTCTTTTTTGGGGGGTGTTCCACTTGGTGAAAACAAAGGGAGTTGTCGCTTGAACCTTCGGACACTCAAGAGCCACCTCGGCTTCTCCCACAACTTTTGTCCCGCCTCCCATCTCTTCACTCAAAGGCGGATAATTGGTGAGGAAGTGGTTTGTGACCATGATTATACCCATGTAGGGAACTTAACGCCATGCGGACAATGCGCATAGCCATGGTTGTATACTGGCCACCCACTACACCACCGAAACATACTGCGAACCTGGTATTAAGGGGTACACCCAAAGCCCTTAAAGAATCAAAAGGCCGGATATCTGCCCCGACTTCTGGCAAAGGGACTACAGTGGATTCAAATCACTCCGTCCTTACGGTGGACTCAACTCGAAACCCGAAAATCAACCGGGGGGTTGGGAATGGACACCGAAAAAGGGAAATGGTTCGGAAACCCGGTGTTATCGAGCCACAACCATGCAGCTTCCCTAAAATTGGTGGTTTGGAGCCCCATGGTTTGGTTCTTGACGGTAGTTTCTCATTTGCCCTCAAGAACGAGAGGCCCAAATCCAAATCCAGGCCACCCATCTAAGCCCCCAACTAAACACCTGATTTTGGGGGTTGACCATTGTGAACAGGGAAAACCACTAAATGTTGAAACCGCCAAATATAGAAACAACCATCGGGTCTGGCCTTTTTTGACTGTAACCCCCCCTCCTTTCTACTCAACCTCAACCACCAAACCACCGGGCTCCAAATCAAGCTCATCTACCAGGGCCGTCTATTTTCCACCGCCCACCCATTATAAAAAAGGATGGAGAGGAAAAAAAAGGAGACATATATATATATATATATATATACATACCATTGTTTTTTTTTAATATACCATATATATATATATACCACTTCTCTCCCGCCATCTCCCGCCATCTCCCGCCTGTGGGAACTGCGCCGCGAAGCCCCCAGGCGCCAGGGCCTTCCTCAGGCGCTTGGCGCCCACCAGGGGCGCCAAGGCCTGGGCGCCCTCCACGTCCTTGGGCCCCACGTCCAGCAGCAAGGCCACCTCCTGCGAGCTGGGGCAACACCCATGGGATGGGGCGGGATAGAAAAAAAACGGCAGTCTTCTGTTTTGGAAGATTGGAAGAAAAGAAGAAAAAAAGAAAAGAAAAAGGAGAACTTAGAACACTGAGAAACTGCAACAAGTAGTGCTTGTAGAAACCCCAACCTTCCAGGAGGTCCCTTTCTGGTGTTGTTTTGTTGCAGCCCTACTAAAAACGGACTGCAACCCCTACAGTGAAGTCAGGTAGTTGGCGGTTTGGAGTGGGGTTGTTGAGGGTCAAGGGGAAACAACCCAGCCGTCTCCAAACCACCAATCAGTGGAAAACCGATCAGCCTTGGTATGGTAGCGACAAACGGGTTTTTGGTCTTTTTTGCAGCCTACTAAAATGAACAGGAAAAAAACAGCAACAACCTAGAAACACGGCAAGAACAGTGAAGTCAGGCAACCAAATGGGGCTTTGTGTCCAGTTTTTGCAGTTGAGGATCGCCTTTAAAACAGATACAACCGCGTGAGCCAAATTCTCCGCTTGGTTGCCAGGACAGCACAGGAGTTCAACTGCGACACTCCGCTAAAACCAAGAACAAGCAACACTTTTGACTGCGTTGGCATTCGAGAAAGATCGAGGGCTGTGACGCAATGGCAGCGTGCCGAGGTTGCAGGTTCGAGTCCTGCCAGCCCGTAGACACGGGGCCTTGCGATGCAGCCCTTGGGTCAAACACCAAGCAATTCTGTTGCGTCCTCCAAATCCTCCTTGGACCAGGACCCACAGAGCTGGCAGCCCAAGTCCAGGAACTCCTGGCCAAGGGGAAACCGCCATGAATTGGGTTCCACCCCCCTCCCTATTTTCGACAGGACCCAAGTCAAACAACCTCAGAGCCACACTCAACCAGTTTTTGTTTTCACCACACTCAACCAGCCCGAAACCGACCCCAAACCCATCTTTTAAGCACCAAACCCCTTGTTTCTCCTGCAGTTTCAGCACCTCCTCCAAGTGCAAGGCGTCCCGGAACCGGGTGGCCTGGAGCACGAAGCGCCCCAGCAGCGAGGCCTTGAGCTTAAGCGGGCGGATGCCTCGCTGGGACGATGGCGGGGAGGGGGGGAGAGCTGGGCAAAGAGGCCGCTTCACCAAATCTTTTTGGAGAACCCTCTTTGGTTGGCCTTAGGGAAACGAAAAGAACATCAACTACTTATTGGGGTCCCCGAAAGACCCACCCACACGGGCAACGGTCCTGTTTTGGTAAATATCCTCAGCCCCAGGAGCTGGAACTCGATTAGAAAAGCTGCTCCGAACCACGTTCAGCTGAGGAAAACCCAACAAACGCGACCACGACTCTGCAGGCCGAGAGCTATTTGGAAGGAGCAAGTGGTTAGTTGCCATAATCATACCCCACTGAACGGACACTTACATGGCTTTGGTGGTTACTGACCACTACTTCACATACTCTGCCCCTTTAAGGGTGTGTGTCAAAATAGGGAGACCCAAAACATGTTCTTTTTGGTTCCCTCAAACCATGGTGAAAAGGGTACCAACTCAAAAAGAAATGCCATGCCTTTTTCACCCTCAGTTGCTCATCAAATACCCACACCCCCTCAACTCAGCACTAACACCCCTTCGGTTTCAGCCTGCATAGCTAAAAAAACACTTTGTCTTGTCGCACCCCGCAAGGGGACTATTTCAAATTACGGAGCCCCGAAAAAAGTGTCGGTCTTCCTTTTTGACTGCACCTGCGACACTCAAGACGGGCTCCCTAAAAAGAAAGACACAAGGGCAATCCGGGGTCCTCCCCAAAAAGACCACGTAGCACCAGCGTTCCGCTTTGGCGAAGCGGCGCCAGCAGGGCAGCCGCGCCGCCAGCTTCTCGCGCTCCAACTCCAGTGCCCGGCCCAGTGCCAAAGCGTCGCCTGAAATCGAGCCGAGGGAAGCGTCGCCTGAAGAGGTTGCTGTAAGCTGAACGAATGTATTTGATTTCTAGCACTTGCGTTGCTCGGGCCTGTGACTTCCCCACGCGTTGGTGGCAAACCACCAAACCATGGTTTCTCTAGACAAATATTGCTTTTGAGCTTGTTCCCATTTGTTACACAAGTGAATACCCATCTTAACGAGATTGCAAACCCCAGAGAAATCGAGGGACTCTGCGAGGTGATCTCGAAAACCTATGAACAGATCTTCCAATGTATGAATCTAGGTTCTGGTGAACCAAGGGTGTTTGTTCAAACAACACAATGATGTACGTACATGTATTTGTATGTAGATATGTCCATTTGTCTGTTTTGGTCACTGTGATGGCGACTTGGCAGGCTGACACAAAGGTGACCCTTCTTTACCTTTGGGACTTATTCTTCAAGGCGGCAAATGGTATGAGTCCAAAAGAGCGTTTGTTGATGGACCCATCGGCTGCGCATCTAAGGGTTTCGACCATCCTACCTCTTGGAATGAAACCCTCTCCGTCGGCCTAGCCCGACCGGATTGCCAAACTCCCTTTGAAACATCACCTCTAAAAAGTCTCACCCGGGAAACTCGTCTCTTGGGTGACCCTCCAGCCTGAGCTCCCTTACCAGATCCTAGCGTTTGGTTTATCCAGGTTGAAATTCAGTAAGCCGCGATTAGGAGCTCTAAAAGTTGGATGTGAGTGGTTTTTGGCATGGTCCCCTTTTCAGATGGACACAAAGGGGGTACCGAGAGGAACATCCGACCCCGTTCTTGTGAATTGGATGGCCCTATTTTGATCCCCATATTCAACCATTGACCTCTCACATCCAATGGCCACAGCCTGACATCCCAAATCCACCCTCCAGTCTGAGAAGCCCTCCCTTGAGGGTTTGGATTTCCAAGGGCCCGACCCCCGTTTTGGTCGGTGAACAACAGTGGAACCCACAAAAACAAACTGCCCTGCGATCTCCCTACATGGAACCCATCAGGGGGTTCCTTTTGAAGGAGAATGGTTCAAACCAGGAACCCGCAGTCAGGTTCCATGTTACTGGATGAAAACCTCATGTTTGTGTGGTCTGTCTTTTTGTGTGTGTGTGTGTGTTTTGTGTTTTTTGCCTTTTTTTTGGTGGGGGGGGAGGGCCTCGGACCGATTCGATGAATCCAACTCTTGGGGGATACCCCCATGGATGTGTTGTTTTTTTTCGAGTTTTTGTGTTTTTTTACTGGAAAATCCAAAGGACAACCGAAATCCATGCTGGGGTCCCCGAAAAAAAAATACCCATAATGTGGTTGTGTATTGGGATTCTATTCATATTTGAGGGGGTCCCATATGGGTTTGTGTCAAAATAGGGAATCCTTTCAGATTCCCTTTTAAGCCAACCTAAAAAGGGTACCCTCCAAAATGTAAACCCAGGTGAGTGTCACTTCCATTTGGTTTCCCAAAAAAGGGTACCAACGAGAAAATGAAGGACACATGTCCCATCTTTTTGACATGTTTTACATCACTTGTTGGGTGCTCGTACCCCAAAAAGGAACAACAGCAACAAAAGAAACACGGGTATTCAACAGACAGCTTCCTTGTTTGCTCCCCTCCCTTCTTTCCTGTACCCAAGGGCACTTCTGTCCTCTACCCAAAGAAGGGTCCTCCCGAACCACGGGCCCAGCTCCGACGGCCAACGCCTTGGGCCATGCCGATCTCCCGGGCCAACTTCACCGCCTCGGCACCCACGCGCACGGAGGCCACGGAGTACTGAGAGCCCTCAGCGGCTGAACGGCACCGGGGGAGCTGTCTATCTATCTGTATGCTTCCCCCACAAAAAACATGCCTTTTACAAGGATACAGTTGCAAAAAAAAAAAAAAGAGAACAGAACTCACAGCTGATTATTCACCTATCACCTAGTGAAACTATTGTGTTTGAGGCACATGGAGGGGGCCCAAGTCCTGTTTCCAAGATCCAAGAAGATTTCCCTTTGTACATAAAGCTGTATCTACATAGATGAACCATACACGTATATATGTGTATATATATATATGTTCTATATTTATATCTATATATGTATATATAATTATATATATATCGGCAGTAGACCTGTTAAGAGGTCCAGCTGTCGCTGTGAGCATATTTGTAATTTGCATGCCCATGTTGTCATCATGCCATCGTGGGGTGATAACGTTCGGAGTCACGGAGTCACGCGCACACACGCGCGCTTGCCGCTTGCCGTCTCAAGCGTGCTTGCGCACTCATACACACGCAGGCGCACGTGGTGCGGAAGGCTCCGCAGGCTGAAGATCAACTGGGGCGAGTCAGGATACCGCCTGACTGTTGTAAGAAAAGCACGCCGCAGTTTTGAAGCTCGGGCTTTAGCAGTCAGACGCGGAAAGCAGTCTGCGGCAATGACCTTCGTTGCCTGTGTCGGTGGCATTTGACAGGGCTGCAGCTTGTCTCCTCTGCTCATCGCCTGAGAGACGAGCAAGATCACGGATTAGCGAGTCTGTCTTAACCACCAATAGAGGCCAACCTGGTCAAACACGCATGCAATATTTGCTGAAAGCATTCCAGTGCCTCAACGACATGAACCAGCATAAGCTAGTGGAGCTGTAGCCGGTGACCGATCGAAAGCAAAACGAGTGATTCCAAGTGATTGCGGCTCCCTAAGGAACTCTTCACGAACCCTCACACATAGATATAGATATATATATATATATACATATATACATATACATATAATTCCAATGTTTCACATGTGGGTGTGTATAAACATGTGTAAACATAACGGAATTATGTGTCTAAACTCTCCTGGTGCATGAATAAGTCTGACAAAATAGCAAACACTGTGTGGGGCGGGCAATGGTGAAATGGGCTGGGCAATTTCCATTGTGGTCAGAAGCTCTAAGTCACTACACCCCGTCATGGAGCGTTGTTCAAGCCTGTCACCTCCCCGCTTGCAAATACTTGTCATGGTCGCAACCTCGCGATCCTCTGCCAACAAAGCATTGTTCAGGTTGCGTCGACAATGAAATCATGTTAGGCCCAAGCACGAGCAAATAGGCCGTCACGGTTGCTCCGGTAGTGGTGCATTCTTGCTGCTAGCCCTGCAAAACCTCTCACACTTGTAATCTGCATGCTCGATCGTCCGCCGCGCAAAAACACACACACACACAATCCCACTCTATCCAGCACCAATCTCCAGACAACCCACCCCATGCTATCATGCCCGCTCTTGTCCAAAAATGACTCGAACTAGGGATTCGAACGGCAACCTGCTCCCCTGGAAAAACCAGCACTGACACCCGAAAACCCTCATTAAAGGCATCTCCTTTTGAGGCAGCCCTTTTTGGGCATCTGCAGCACGACTTGGGCTGGGAAGCCCCCACATGAAGCCTGGCCTGTTTGCGCAGGCACCCGGCCACACGCTGGCGCAGGTCCTTGGATTCAAGAAGCTGGCAAGGAAGCGGGCGGACCCCCTCAGAAGGGTGTGCATCCAAATTGGGGGAACCCCAAACTGGATTGTTTACCTTTGGCTTCTCTCCAAAACAAACATATCCTCCAAGACGCAAGACCTGGCCAACATCCGGGGAACCCAAACATTGCACCCATTTGAACCCTTTGAAATGGCGATCTTTCATTTTCTTTCCTGTTTGGCAGAGCGTTGGAGAGGAATACACTACACTTTAAGAGGACTTAGACCAATTTCCCCCATGAAGTCTGGACAAGCAACCCCACCTACCCTCATCCCTAGCCCAATTTGCCGAGCCATTTTTGCCAATAGCCGAGGCGAACAGTACGTGCCGTGGCTGTCCTTCCTCTCCAAACCTCCCGGCCGGTGCTTCGCCTCTTAGATCTGAAACTGGGGATACCATGACCAGATCTCCAGTGCCATGACAAATCCACCCAAACAAATCAATGAATAACCAAAACCGGGCGCCACTGCAGACTCGGGTCCCCCAAAAAAACACGTACATCACCAAAACCGAAGCTGAGAAAGAAAAAAATCCAGGCTCGCCCCAAAAAAAAACAAAACGCCCCAAAAAAGAATAGCTCAAAAGGCTCCCTTCGGCCAGCTGGAAGCCCAGGCGCCCTTTCCAGCAGCCCGCCCCGGCGCGCCGCCCAGCGGAGGGCGTTCAGCGCCACCTCCACGTCGCTCGGTTTCGGCGCGTCCGGCGGCAGAATGGTGGCCTGAGCGCAGGGACCGGACGGAAAGACGGGAAGTCGCTGGAGGTCCGGTGGTTTGGTGGCAACTAGCGCTGGATGGCTGGCACCAAAGTTGAAATGGAGGAAACCCTGGAAAAGGAAATTCAAAGCAAAAACCAAAGCCAAATCAGCTGGAAGGGAAAGGGAAACGAACCAAGAAAACAAAACAGGCTTTTTGGGGGTTGAGTAGATGTGATATGGCTATATCTGTCGTGTTCAGAGTTGGTGCCTTTTTGTGTAACCAAAAGGAAACCGCGCATTTTGGGGATGTAAAGAAGCAGACATGAGCCACAGTCAACATGGGAAGAACATGGCATGGCATGGTTTCAAAGAGCAGGAAAGGGAAAGGGAAAGGGAAGAAGAGAAGTGATAACGATCTGAAAGATAAGGCTTAAAGGTCTTCGGACTCCGTTGTTTGACTGTGGCGACTTGCCGAGCGTGCCAACTATGTCGCACAGTCCTTTTTGGGGAACGGCTCTTTTGAAGTCTGATGCCGGAGGTTGACCTTTCCACGAGGAGGATGGACAGTGGCATTGGGAGAAGTCGAACGGGAATATGCCTGAGAGCCACAAAGGAGATAGGAGGTGAGTTCATAAAGCAGGCCAAGCAATGTTTTGTTCTCCCACTGGACAGGATGATATTGGGGGGTCAACACATTGAACAATTGGTGAACCATGTGGGGCAAAGGCCTTTGAAGCAGAAGACCAAAGAAGAATCCTTCAAAGAAGCCACGTATAAGATCAGTGTGCGCGCACCTGCATTGCCTAGACGCAAACACACACACACACACACACACACACACAACAAACATGTGGGAGTTTCTCCACATGGACACCCTTTTGGCTCGCATTTCAAAAAAACATCTAGAGGCAGCCAGTCATTTTCAGGCAACTCCTTTGAGAAACTCCCAACCCGAACACATCACGTAGAGCTTGCCCATTCAGCTTGGTTCTCGCCTGGGAAGCGACCAGGGCCAGATCCACCAGTGCCACGGTCCCCTGGGCAGAAAACCGCCCCGTTTGGCCCGCACGGTTGGCCCGGCTCAGCCGAAAGGTGGATGGACCGATGAAGGAAACATCGCCAACAAACGTGACGTCCCACTTGGCATATCTAAGGTTGAACTTCCATGGATCAAGACCAGCTCCAACCTCCCTAATAACGCCGCCCTCGACGTTCGCTTGCCTCTCGGTGCTTTCGGACATGACCCCCGAACAAGACGGATGATCCCGGAAATGTGCGCCGAACGAGGCATGGTCCGTCTACTTGCAGGGTACGTCAGGGAAGTGCTTAGCCTTGGTTTTACCCCGCTTCAAGGACTGACATCCGTGGCTTGGGTGGGTGACTATGGTCACCAACCACTTCCCTCATGTACCCTGCCATGAGCCAAACCTGGCGGTTGATCTTTGTCTTCCCAAACCAAGGTGAAAAGGGCGTCCTCCAAAAAGAAAAAACCGCACAGGTGTGTAAACTAGCTCAACATTGGATTTTTGCTTTCACTTTGTCCCCCTTTTCAGCTTCCCTTGAACTGGTTTGGATTTGGTGGTTCAGAGGTTAGGGGGTTTCCCAGATTCCCCTACAACCCATATTTGATCTAAATCCAAACCAATCCAAACCTTGGGGCGAACCGGACATGGAACACCCCAACTAATCCAAACCACTTGGAGGGGTAGCCTGACCCTGACTTAACCCCAGGAAGCCATCTTCGGGCATTCGGCCAAAACCCGAGCGATCCACACCGGGCAGCACGGGCCTCGCGGCCGTGGCTGAGGCCCGGCAACGCCCCGAGCAGCTCCCCCGCCGCCGCTTCCGTCAGCGCCACGTCCTCCCTGGGATCCAATTGACGCTTTTTCGGCGATGGCCGGGGCGGAGCGCAGATTTGTGGGGGGAGCGGGGGGGGGGGGGGGATGTGCAAAGGAGACCAGCAATGGGGTCAGTCATAAGCCAACAATCGTTGGAATATAAACAGCCACGTCGCCGACAGGAGTGGACATTCTAGCGGTATCAAAATGGAAATATAACTGACAATCACGGAATGACAGCGAGCCAATAATGGATAGAGACTCGGTGGCACAGACCCGAAGTGGGCGTGGTGTCTACGCGCTTGGGACGCCGCCGTTTATCGGGTTTCCTTGGACTGACACGGAAGCAAACCCCAATCTTGAGGCCCAAACCCCGGCCCCAAGAATCGATTTGGACGCCCAGATTCACATAGAACCCAGAAAGGCGCCCCCTTAAAGGAGACTCCTCTGAAATGGCGCTTTTGCTTTTTTTGTTTTTTTTTTTTTTTTGGGGGGGGGGGGAATTCCATATTAATCTGCAGAGGAGTTAAAAAAAAAGAAGAAAAAAAAACTCCCACGCACTTCATATTCATGGACCACTGTCGCGAAAGACCATCAACAAGCTCTATGCGCATAGCAGCCCCAATCAGCATCTCAAATATTCACCAAGCAGAAACAAACACTGTACTGATGTTGATCATAGCCGAATCAACAGCACATACGCATGTACATATATATATATATATGTACAGCATTTGGATCGACAGTTTCAGCAGTGAATTCCAAAGTCGGCACCACCGTTGCACCGTCCAGTTCAATGGGGTGCTGCGGCTGATGCGGTATCTGACTTCTCCTTGGGAGAAGTAAAACTTGATGAGTCTCCATACTCTATACTCAACACAACTGACCTCAATGCTTGGTCTTGTGTGTTTCCATGAAACTATAAAATTCTGCAACATCATGTTCCTCAAATTGGTAGCCACACTTCTCTAAGTAGGCCACTTCTGCAGTCTGGGATGCGCCAAGGCCACCATTTTGGCGGGCCTCTTTGACAGAGGTCTCGTTCGAGAGCTCCTCCCACTTGAGCTTACCGCATCCGACTCGATCTTTGAAATAAAACACATGCAACGTTTGGCAAAGTTCCACAGCATCATCCACATTCTGCTTCCATTCTTGAAACCACTGGCACCCCCAAGGTGCAACAAAATTCACTTCCTCGCACTTGCGCTGAGCCGAAATCTGTGCGTCTTTCTTGTCCTTCTGCCACTGCTCATCGCTTTGTCCCTCTCTTTTTACGAATATCTGGCCCATGGCCTTTGCGTCGGCCTCTTTGAATTGGAGGTCATCCTCAGTCATGGTTTCTGGGTCTTCCACTATGCTGACATAAGCCGCTGCTGGCACCCGGCCGTACAGCGACCTGCACCAACATTCGCTCGGGTTCTCCGGGTTCTCCTTGTGCACGCCTAAGCCAGACTGCTGGTCCGTCAAAAAGACGCATGCAAGGCTGCAGGCGCCAGAACGCACTTCGACCATGCGCACAGCAGCATCCCACTCCTTGGCAGCTCTGAACCGCTAGTGCTTATTGGGTCTTTTTCGGGCCCCCCCAAACAAAAACGAATGGTGGTTGTCCTTTTGGTTCTCCTTCAAAACCAAACATATAGGTGTACCAACTCTAAGAGAGGACACACCCTATTGAATGCACTCCCATAGAAACGCACGTCGTACTCCAATGGGCTCTTTGCACTTCCCTGTTTGTAGCTCCCGGGGACCATGTTACATCCAACCAACAACTAAACATGAGCCTGCGATACTCTTGCGAAGGTCAAAGCGGTCATGCTCATTCTTACTCTAGTTCCTGGCACCTAAGCCTTCAAAAAGCCGAACTGATAGTTCCCGGGCCTAGAAGGTTCCCTTGCGTTTGAACCTATGAAGTACCTGAGGAATTGGGGATTGGTTGCATATTGCTGGTTCGCAGACATGTCCACAGGTACCTAGGGCGCCCGGTCGACTTTCAAACTGATTTCGCGCAGGAGCTGAACGGACACTTCGACAACCTTCTGGGTGAACTTGACGTTCGACAAATGAGAAATATAGTGGGAAACCTGTCCGACCCCCCCAGCGGGGATACGGATATTGCTCCCTGCTTTCAAGAGCTTGCAGTTGCCACCTCTGTTGACGGGAATCCTAAGTAGGGTCAGTCCAAGGTACTCTACATGTCCAAACCTCATCTGGGTGACAAAGAAGAAAGTCTGAAAACATGAAAAAACACATAGCTTGCTCTAGGGGGAATGCTGAAGACACAGCCTCGTATGCAAATTCAATCAAGTACCAAATCAAGCACAAACTTCCAGAACGAGGACAAAACAATGCCATGCGAATCACTCGCGGCCACTTGATGGCACCCCTTCATTGATCAATGTGCTCAGCAAGACCCCTTGACCAACCGCTTCCTGACTGACGCTCGTAGCATTTAGATGCGAAAACAACATCACCTTTGGACACACAGCTCCGAGCCGAGCCTCACCGGCTCTATGGCCAAAACTCCTCATGCGAGTCATGGACAGTCTGACCTTCTAAAACCCCTGTCAAGAGGTTCATGCCCTATCAACCCCAAATAGTCCGTCCCGCCTTTTGACCAAGGCACATCTGCATACTTGCCAGGGAAACTGACAATGCAGTGCTGTGAGTTGGGGTTCACCCTCCCGGGAAACGCGATGCGCTTCTTTTGTGTGAAAGCCATGTGTGCGAGCTCCCTCAGAACCTCATCCTGCTCCAACATCTCTGCTGGTCCGATGAGGCCACCGAGGACCAGGATAGATGCCAGCACGCAACTGTTGTCGAAGGTCAGAAACAGGGCCGGACTCAGGCCTCTCTCGTGGCCAAAGAACTCCGCTAAAGGCAAGTAAATGGCATCCAGCAAAAGCAGGAAGGCGCCGAGAAGCAAGAACCACCCAGCACAGGAAGCCTTTCTGACCAAATCCTGATCCGCCATCCTCTGGCTCAGCATCCGTTGCTTCACAATGAACTCGTAAAACAAGATCGACACACTCACTGCTGTTAGAAGCCACAGACTGCCCAAGAAGAGACTCGCAACTGCAAGACTCTCAAGGAACTCTTTACGTGGGCCGGACCTCAGCATGAACCTGAGGACGCTGAGAATCACCCAGCAGACTGAAGCAATTAAGATTAGTGTTGCTGTCCTGTTCCAGCCTAACAGTTCAAGCTTTCGGAATGTGGCGCCCGTTTGCCCCAATCGGGTAAACCAGCAGAGCCCCATCATCGGACCATCAAACTTGAAAGCTGTTGAACCAGCTGTTGTTGTATTCCCCCGGGTGAATAGGAATGCAGTCAGGTCCAAAACAGAGGACACAAACATAACACATACGCATCCAGCAAGGCTTGCCCCGTGCAGACCGGACTCTTGGTTGTAGCGGAAGAAAAAAGGTACCAGACCCACAGCCGCCACCACGGGCCGAGCAAAGCCATCTGCCAGTTGCACGAAAATGGGCAGGTCACCGTACAAAAACCTTTGATCACTAGTGCTCAGGATGGTGAAACTATTCAGGGTGGCCCTCGTAAGGGTGATGGACACAAGGGAAACTTGACGAATTCCACCAAAAAGCGCGCAAGAGCGACCTGCCGGTAAAGCACCCTGGTCAACAGCCTTGGTCTCCGGCACAACTTTCATTTACTCAGTTGGACCTCAGACCTTTCCATGGCACCCTAAGTTCCTACAGCCCAAGAGCCATGGGCTTGATCAGAAAAGAGAAGCCAGGTTGCTCTGATGCAAAAATGCCGAATCATGCCACGCGGCTGTGGGGTTCATAGACGTCTCATGTTTTGCCTCTAAGTCCGTTGCTTCGGTCGCCCGGAGCGTAACAGTCATCCAGATTCACTCTCAAACCACAAGAAAGGGAGAATCCCGTCATGCAAGAGCACAGGTCTACTGCGGTCTGCTAGAAATGCAGCGGTATTCGAAACACACACTTCAACTCCCTAGGGAGGATGCGTTTGAGTACAACTGATGAGTCTCGAGTACAACCGATGAGTCTCGAGTGGGCTAAGTTTCGGCTCGCGATGCACTTGGCTTCCCTCTAGTGTCGAAAACGTTACAAGATTCAACATGAAGCACACACAGCGGCAAAAGAAGCGGCCAACTGGACTTTCATCCACATCACTTCACAAAAGCAGGTACACACGGGTGATCAATCCGTGCATCCACCAGCAAGCATAGCTTCGTTGGCCAGCGTTTGCTTGATGGCCGCTGGCCCCCTGCTGACGAAGAAAGGTTGGTGGCAGGGTATTCTGCCACTCCGCACACACACGCCCCTCCAAGAGGGGCGTACACTACCTTTTGCATCCGGAAGACCAAGCGCTCAACTCCCCAGTGTCTACGAAAATATTCACAGCGGCGAGGAGAACGCGAATTTGCACGCTCTGCGCGGCGCCACTCAGAAGACGGGGACGTAGGATCTCCGAGTTGAGCAGGAAATAGTCCGCGTCTGTGTCCTGCAATTGAAGGCAATACTGGCGGAAGGAACAGCGAGGACTGATGTGTGGTGTCCGTCAGAGGCGGGGCGTAGGTGAACATGTCCATCACATTGCGATCTTGCTGACGAAGGCCATGCTGAAAAGAACCAAGTTCTTCCACCTGGATGGAAAAGTCCGGGTTGTGCACGCCATCACGCAGTTGATCAGAGGCATTGTGGGTGGAGAAAGACTCATAGCGGGTCAATATCCGTTGATATCCTTGATGCTGCCAATCCTGAATAGTCCAGGTTTGCACGGTGATCATGCGCATGGTGACCTTGCCAATCTTCATTGCCCCGAGTTTCTTCACGTGGCGAGACCACCGGCTTCCAAACTCGAAATGTGTTCTCTGGCACAGCATGTACGTCATCATCCGGGTGCCATAGTTGAGGTTGCCCAGGGGTGTAGACCTTCACCCACTCTTGATCCTGCCAGACTGAATACTCTAGCCATGGTTGTTGAGTGCTGTCCAGGTCCCGCGCTTGGGCTGCAGCATCAATGTCCATGTCGAGATGGAAGAAAGAGTGCACCACGGTATCCGATCCAGCTAGGAGCGCAAAAGAACCAACAAACATGCACAACGGGCAACACACAAGCATGCAAGACATCAGGAAAGCACCATTTTGCCGAACGGCCCATACTTGTCTGTCTACTCAGCAACTAGTTCAAAAATGGACTTCTCCTTGACGTTGGAACTGCTGGGGCGGCTTGCGGGCAGATAGGGATCAGCGACTCCAGCGGATTCAGGTTGACGAGTCAGCGTCACGAGAAGTACGTACTGGTTGATGAGCCGTGATGCTTGTCGCGTTCGGTCCGCAAGTTGGCTAATCCCTGCCTGTAGACGAGTCAGATCCTCGGTAGAGAAGGTCGATGCATCCGAGGATCGTAGGATCGCTTCCAACACCAGTGGAGACATGCACAGGGTTGACGACTGTGTGGCCACGCTGTGCTGATCAGGGGAAAAAGTCGAAGCGAAGTGGCTGTCTGGCTCTGGAGCCGCGACACACCTGTATCCTTCAGTGGTCCAGTCCCGTTTCTACCATGCATGAACAGTGGATTGAACGCCGTCTTGAGAATGAACTTGGTTATAGAACAACTTCCATTCCCTGTACGTCTGACGTGGAGGAGGGTCATCGTGTTCTGCTTGTAGTGTCCATGTACCTGGATGAAAGATCTTGACCCATTGGGCGTCCGGTCGTTGAGGATCAGGGCACCATTCTAGCTACGGCATGTTGACTTAACAATGACGCACACGGCTGCAGGCAAGAAACTTCATGCCATGTGACACTGAACATGCCAGTCAAACGCAAGACACTCAAACCCGCATTCACGGCACTTGCAACACAGAGCGCAGCGTTTTGTAGCTAGAGTCAACTCAGGTGTCAATGTCACTCGCCCCAATCAAAGTTAGGATCATAAGGAGGTGAAGGAGGACGCCAACCACCATCTGAGACCGAGGATGCTGACGAGGATGGCGATCCCGACGGGAAAACAGGCCGTGCTATGCTTGGGTGGATTGCCGAGTCGTTGGTATCCTCTGATGTGCCAGTCACGGTAATGCCATGTATAAAAGGACGCATAGGAGACCGGCTGGGCGAGGTGCCTCCCGTGCTGTCACGAGGAGGCCAATATACTTCAAAGTGGTAGAACCTGCGCCACTCACGATAAGTGGACCAGTCGTCCGGAGCCGGTCCCAAGGTGGATTCTGCGACAGGCTGCCACGGGCCTGGTATGTAAACTGGGATCCATTCAGCTCTTGTGTTTCCAGGGCCACGCACGATGTTGTACTCAAAGTAGTGCGGGAAGGGCCATCTCCCGGTGGTCGTCGAATTGAACATGACAACCGAATTAGCAGCTGTGAGACAGAAAGGAGTCTGCGAGAGTAGAAACATACCAACAACACAACACAAGACAAAGCAACCCAAGCACAGGCAAAGAGAATCGGACAATGTTTTCACTCAGAAGGCTGGCTGTCTTCACGCTACTGCCGTTGATGAAGTGAAAGTGCCCCGGCTGACGTCGCGCAAGGAGAAAGACACTTCCGGCCACTGTGCAGGAGAGCATGGCAGTAATGGTTGCATCTCGTAGTTCTGGACCTTGTAGCACGAGTCGATCGCTTGGGAGTAAAGAGGGTGAATGGCCGTCGAGTGTAGCGTTCTGCCACCGACGCTGTGACACTTTTCACGGTTCGATCACGCTTGCGAGTGCATTTGGATTCTCGCGTAGATAAGGGACTCCGCGTGTGTGGTGCTGATGGTCGCCTGCATGAAGATGGCCAGTATATACTGCGCGCTGATTGTCTTGTGCGGTCGGAGGATGTGGCACCTGGGCAGGATTCACCGCGGGGAGATGACGTAGGTGAAATTCGTGTTGTAGGCACAAACTGAGAGTGGAAGATCTCCGGCGGCGGAGGAGGTGGAGGAGGTGTAGGTAGAACAAAATGTGGTGGTGGTGGTGGTGGCGCCGGTATGCGTATTGGTATTTCACCTTGAGCTCTGAGTTCACGATTATGAAGTGAAGGGCCGTGGTACTGCAACCACGTAGGCTGCAGTCCATGAGTCCAGGTGATGAACGTCTGAACATTTTGTTCCATCATGACTTGATCCCTCATGTCTGCATGCCAAGCAATGCAAGGTGAAAGATCCGACACAACGCACAACACTCAAGAATATTTTCACTCGTAGGAGTTCAGCGGAGTCTAGTTGCGTGCCTCAAGTCGTTGGTAGACCTTCCAGGCATGCTTGACTTCATCCGTGTTTTTGTGGAGGAAGCGGGCAATAGTCTTGTAGGTGGGCCTTGCGCCCTTGTCCTTTTTCCGCCTGACCATCTCATCCAACTCCCCTTGCATCCATGCTGTGAACGGTTCATGGTATGCATTGCGAAGTGCTGTTGTGAACTCTTGTAGAAGTTCACGAGGACCATGCACCACGGTAGGGGACGAGCGAAATGACGAAGCACCTGGGTGAGGACGGATAGAATGGTCCGAGTCAGAGTCCGGGGTGGAGGTTGGCGTAGTCACGGGGCCACGATTGGCGTGCATCGCGATTGGTGCAGTCACTCTTGGCGGAGGTAGTTGTGCAGCGAGGTCAGTTCTGGGCGTACCTCCTGGACGAGGTTCATGTTCCGCACCTGCGCCCGGAACATCACGACGTTCATCACGAGGAGGAGATAGCTCTGCGAAACAACACAAACTGGGTAGAATGAAGTACAAACCTGCTGCGTCAGAGAGCTGAATGTCTTTTACTTGGCACCAAGCAGCAGCGGCCTCTGGGTAGTCCGGACGGACGACACTGGCATAGCCTTCACTGTAGGAGGAGCTTTCGGCGCAGCACTTCGATATTCTGCAGATAGAAGGGGCCCACGACGGTTGAGTGGTCGCCTGTGACGACTTCGGCTCCGAGAGCGGTGTCGGCGCGTGTCACGTCGCCTTGACCTTCTCCTCCTGTTGCGTTCCCTAAGCGTGATGGGCATCGATGTGAAGGATGTCCTCGTTGCCGGCGCCTTCGGAGATGTCGGGGCCGGTGTCAAAGGAGGTGGCAGCGGCGGCAGTGCATCAGGCACCGCCGGTACAGGAGGTACAGCAGGTGCAGCAGCAGGAAGTGGTGGTTGTGGATGCCGTTGTTGTCCTTCAACGCGCTGTAGCCCAGCCACCAGTATGCTGATCTGCGACAAGATGGCGTGTAGCAGGTGACGACATTCTCGTAAAAGGTCACCATGATCCATGACGGTTGAGGCGACAAGAAACTACAAGCGGCTGCAAGCATACAATAATGTCAAGAACCCACAAGCATGCAAACCCTGCAATCATTCAACCCATCAAACTCCATCGGCACATGATTCAATTTTCTCGGAAGAGCAATCAAAGCAGCAGAAAGCGTCATGAGTGAGATCACGAAAAGTCAGCTGCCACAAACCGCATCTTGTTGCTTCATAGAGGTAGTAGAGTTAGCGCCTCACTGGCAGCGCTGTCACAAGATCACTCAGGAAGTGGTCACCAGAACATCCCCACGTAGCTGAGAACAGCAATCGATGATCGAAGTTTCCACCTGCCATCTTTGCTATGGATGCAGTCATGGTAGTGAGATGCAGCGATGCCTGCGTACGTGCCGCCTCTCGGGATCGTGCAGTGCTCCTGGCGCAAGCGTGACTTTCCTCCGA